CATAGCTGCTTACGCCGAAGCTCTACTCAAGCTCTACCAAATGGCTCTATGTAACTTGGCTCTATGTAACTTGGCTCTATGTAACTTGGCTCTATGTAACTTGGCTCTATGTAACTTGGCTCTATGTAACTTGGCTCTATGTAACTTGGCTCTATGTAACTTGGCTCTATGTAACTTGGCTCTATGTAACTTGGCTCTATGTAACTTGGCTCTATGTAACTTGGCTCTATGTAACTTGGCTCTATGTAACTTGGCTCTATGTAACTTGGCTCTATGTAACTTGGCTCTATGTAACTTGGCTCTATGTAACTTGGCTCTATGGCTCTATGTAACTTGGCTCTATGTAACTTGGCTCTATGTAACTTGGCTCTATGTAACTTGGCTCTATGTAACTTGGCTCTATGTAACTTGGCTCTATGTAACTTGGCTCTGTGCAACTTGGCTCTGTGCAACTTGGCTCTGTGCAACTTGGCTCTGTGTAACTTGTCCAAGGGCTCCGCACGGAAGATCCCTTCGCGATGCTTTCGGGAAATGGAAAAGCAACACGACAAAAATCCCCGTCCCGTCGTTTTGGGTGTTGCTTCATTTGCTTAAAGATCCTTTGGATCGTGTTGGATCCCCGGACTCGCTGCTACCTCTTTGGTCGCACACATCTGGTTTGGACATCGCCTTGCACGTCGGGGAAGTGCCGTGGTGCTTGCAAACCCCAGTGGACATAGCCTGGTGCAGCAGGGGCGATGTGGATCATCCCCTGCAAGAAAGTGGGTCCATGTATGAATTGACTGAACTGTGACAGAGGGTGGTTTGTGTGAGAACGAGACAGAAAGTCAGCAACTCCAAGTACTTGGACATGCGCCTGCATACCTTCTCAGCTATGAACAAGGCTGCTAAGACAACTAGATACTCGCGCTTCAGTGCTTGCAACTGCAGCTGGAAGCATGTCACATGCTGGTTCTGGGTGTCCCTTCAAACTAAGGTGAAAAGGGAATCCTTTCCTAGAGGAGACCATGGTCAAAACGGGTATCCCTAACCTAAAAGACGCAAACCCAACTCCTTCAATCATCGGGCTTTGTGGACATTCAACCGTTCTCGAAAGTTGAAGCCCGATTCACCGATGCCTACGCTTTCGGCCACCGTGATGGTACACCAAGTAGACCTAAGCTAGAGGCTGGATGCTTTTCAGAGCATTTGTCAAAAGGGTACCCGGGCCCCAATGCTTGGTCTTCTTGGCTTGCTGCCTCCTTTCACAGCAACCTTTCAGAAGGGCGCCTTCAAATTCAAGCGCACGCACACACACACAGATGTTGCCTGCTGCCCCAGTGTACGTGTAACAGTTGGGCTGAAGAGAAACCAGCAACATGAAGGCACATAGATCACAATCGAGTCTGAAGAAGCAAACCAAACGCTCTTGGAGACAAGTAAACAATGCAACCGGGACGCGTGGTTTGACGCTCTGACATCATTCTCTTTGAAACAGAAATCCATCTGGCTTGCCCACAAAGATGAAGTCAATTCCAACCCTGCAATACTCACAAAAAGTGCAAGATCACCTGCGGAACCATCTAAGATCCTATCAAACTAGAAACTAAGGGTCATGTGTCGAACTGGGAAAGGCAGGTTGCTTCCCGGTGATTGTTGGGTTGAAAACAGAGTCCAATGCTGATCCAAAGCCACAACAAGGTAAGCCATGTTCATGGCCCGTGGTCCCTGACCCATGATAGGCACTCGTCATGTTTTGGACGGCACCTGATTCTTGGTGGTTGTAAAGCGGAGCCAAGAGGAAAACAACCCTCTTGGGGGGGGGGTCTCTCGCCAAAACGACACGCCCGCACGAGTAAGCCAGTTCAAACAGCACTGGGCTACCATTGCAGGTGAGATTCTTCTTAGTGGACCCAAAGGGTTCAACTTGTCTACGCAACCGTTAATCCATGGCTTGACAAACCCCCAGGCTCCATATACGCCTCTCTTGTTTGTAGCTTCGGAAGCCTGTTTGGATTGATGTTTGAAGGCAAAAGGACACCAACCATTTTGCGCCCCCCAGGACTAAAATTACGTGTCTTGAGTTTCGCACTGTCTGGAGCAATGACTTTACCACATAGTGACCAAAGCAAAAAGAAGGATTCCTGTTTGATAGCCCGTGACATGTTAATTCGAGTCCTTTGTCTTATGTGTTGAGTCGCATCAAAAAGAAACAAGCAGCTGAAATACTCTTCGGAATCGAAAAGCAACCGCGTCGCCCCGGGGCTTCCAATCTTTGACAGGCTCCCTAGTCCAACATTTGCGCTCCTATACTTATACTTGCGTTCATGTTGAGTTGACTGACTTTAGCTGGGTTGCTCCAAGCCTCTTTGAGCAAAAGGCCGATCGCCTTCTGTAGGAGAAGGTCTAAAGGTCTAAAGGGCGATTGGTCACACCCAAGGCCCTCCATGAACTCCGGAACCTTCAGCCGGTTCAATACAAATGACTGGAAGGCTCCGACTGCCGCTCCGCCAACCAGCAGGAAAAGCCCAAGAAGGCTTTGGCACCTCGCCCGCAATGGGAGAGGTGAAACCCGGCGTCCCTTTAGTTTCTGTTCGGTCACACAAAAATGGGCATCAAAAAATATCAAAACCAAAATCAAGTAAGCAGAGCAAAGCAAAGCAAATCACAGCAAATCGAAGCAGGGCAAGCCATACATACAAGCACAAACACACATAGCAAGGCTCGGAAGAATCATGGTGAAAGTACGGATAACGGGTGAGTCATCCAGGTGACATGACAATTTTGCCATAGGGGCACCAGCTGGAAACCAATGCCACAAAGAGGGGTTCTACGTCAAGGGAACCCTTGCTTGCTGAGGTCCGGGGGAGAGAGTGCAAAAGGCAATGAGCTTCTTCCAAGGCCCAGTGATGAGGGATATGAAAACCACACACTATGCCCCTCAGAAGCCTGCTTGTAAGCCCAATCTCAAAAGTGGTGTCAAAATCGGGGGCCCAACAAACGTGTGCCTTGTCCCTGTGGTTACCCCCAAAAGCAAAGCCGACAAAAAAGGGGTTCTGAGCCTCAAAAACACACAGACACGTCGTCAAGGCGCCAAGACAGCGCACGATGGCTGTGGCCCTGGTGCTGGCGGTTGAAGGCCTGGCATCGACTCGCGGGACGGAGCCGGGGGATGGTGCCCTTCTTGGGGATGGTTTTAAGGAAACGAAAAAGGAACACCTCCTTCTGCGTGATACGTCCCATGGGAAGAAACAAAAACATATTTCCACTGGTGATACGATCCCTTGAAAACCAAAGGGGGGACTTCACACATAGTCTTCAGCAAATAAAAGGAAAACCGACCTCGGGTGCTGAATGGTGGGTCCCATTTCTATGGCGCATTCCAACACAAAAGGGACACATAAGTGCTAGCGAACAACTGAGACCCCTTTTGGTCTCCTGGAACTGCGTGGCAACCCCGGCAACCCACGGTAAATTTGTGGCTTCCAAAGGCCGACGCGCTGAGAGGCTTGAAATTAAGGACGTGGTCAAACATCCCGTGCCTTGCAACCATGGAAGGCCAGTGAGTTTGAGCAATTCGTCCCAGTAAACCTCAGAAATTGAATATGTGCGGTATGATCCTCGGGACGTTAAAATGAAGAGTACAGTTTGCGCAATTGTTCAAAAGACTCCTTGTAACACGGCACTTGGCAAAGTCAATACGGTCACACTCAAAACCTGGTCTTAAAAAACAAAATGGTTGAAATCCATGTAAACACGCCCCATCCAACCGACTCCGGCCTTCCATGAGGTGGAAAAAGAGCAGCGAGGGTTCCTCGGGGTTGGCCCAAGGAAAGCCAAAAGGGGGCTGGTTCATCAAAACGGTATTTAAACCATTGGCATTTTGGCCTTTATACTCAAGCAATAAGGACTCAATGGTTTTCTGGTCAACAGTTTAAACAGGGGGTTGGCCGTACTCGCACTCAAACCAAGCTGCAACACATCTCTCTTTCCCACTCGACCTTGGAAACATGCGCGGAGGGTGGACAAATAGCGACCTGTATTGCCTGCGCCTTGAAATGGCGGATGCGGAAAATATAACTGAGGTCCCCAAATTGGGGTCGTGTTCTGTACGTACAACCCTTCGTGACAAGGGTCCAATATTCTTCGGGAACAAGCCCCCGTCAACAGAAAGTGGAACACTACACACGCACAAACACCAAGGTTCCCTTTGTTTCCTTGAGAAACATCCCATCACCCTACTGAAGAAAACTCACTCTAGATTGGCCTCCGCTGGCAGCCTGGTCAGGCGACAACTCTGAAATGCCCAAAAGCTGCTGTTTCACACCAACACAAGTGGACATTTGGGGAACCCTGCACACACACAAACACCCGCCGTGTGCAACATCACCCTCTGGATAGCCGTGCGCGGACCAATTCTCACCCTGTCTTCCACACAACTTGTATGATGTCAGGATGTCGCTTGTCCAAAAGCATGCAGATTCCGGGCACGAAGGGGCACTGGCAGGGCCGTATTTGATGAGATCTCCCGTGCTTCGTAGTGAGACTATGCCTTATATTAACTGTCCTTCAGCTTCTTCGTACATACTATCACGCCACTCCTTGCTTGCCGAGCTCAGAGCCAACGTGCCCCATAAAAGGTATCAGCTTCTAAGTGACTCAGTGCGCTAGCTCAAGAGGTATCCAAACGGGGATCTGGGTGATGAGCAGGCGAGTTCCGGAATGTAGTTGTGTTGTGTCCAGATTGTAAAGGACTTGGTCGCTATGAAAGCATGATGAATGCTCTAGCAAACATCGGACTTGCCCAGACCTCTGCTGCAAATCTGAGGCATGCCGTGAAGCTAGAAACATATTGGAGTTCAACATGAGTTTATCTGCTCGAAGAGAAAGATGTACAGTGGCCAGACCAGCCATGGATTACAAATGGGTAGTGGGAACCCCGGAGTTATACATCCTGCTTCCCACCCATGTCGGATGGCATCTCACTCCAAGGCTGCTTCTGATGAATTGCGACCAGCTGCTCACTTACCTCAGCCCACTCAATGGAGAGAACCAAAACGAACGGGTCGAACACAAATTGGGGCCATTTGCCTAAGGGGCACCAAGGGGTCCCTAAAACGACATCCCCTTATTCACCCCATTTTCAACCAACGTCCACCCAGCAGGGTCCGTAGGACTTTGCCCCGTGAATCAGGGCAAACTACAACAACAGACAACAACTCACAAACCAGATAAAAGGGAATTCATAAAACTTGCAGCCCAGGAGTAAAAGCCCATGGTTGATTACTATTTCATGGGGGATCCTTCACTTTTGGGGGACTTTGAGATCATCCTTCCCTAGCACAAAAAAATAGGCCGCCTCCTGCAAATAAAAGCCTTACCTTGTACAGAACCTTGACTAAACATGGACACAATCAAGAACCAAGAGGTTAAAAGGTCAGCTTTGGGCAAGTGAGAGACGGAACGCTGACTTGACAATAGACATCCCTCATCAGAGTAATGTCCGAGATGCTGCAGAAGCATGTGCTCAGAAACCATTCTGCCACCGGAATGCACACAGCTCAACGGAGCAAAATGTTCACACCAATCAACGAGGCTGCTACACTTGCGTGGCAGCTACCCACACACTTCGCAGCCATTGCATGAATTAAGCATCACAAACCTTATTTGTTTCGCACAATCCTCGGTCATTCCTCCATCCAACAGGAGCCCACGAAGACACCTTAGCCCGAATGTGTCCCTGGCATCTTGCGGCCAATCAGGGATTTCGTCCTTCTGGTCTTATAGGGGGCTGGCGGCTGGCTGGTTTTGGCGCATGCGGTGTGAGAAGTTGCTTTTGGGTTGGCCTCAGGAAGCAGGTTGTCAAAGTCAAAATCGGGGGATCGGCGACCAAGAACCGGCAGTGGGTAAAAAAACATAAAAAACAAAATAGGAATACCCTAAATGGAACCCTGATAAATGGAACGCGGCCTAACACACAGCGGTTCCCCGGTGGCTTCATTTTGACTTTTCCAGGCTTTCGCCTCTTGAAGCGACATGGGCCATGCGTATCCGCAAGCCTCTAAGCCCGCAGCCGCGTCCTCAACGAAGGCCACAAACCTCGCAGCACAGCTTGACTGCGGATTCACGTAACGGATGGGGGATGTGCCAGGGGGATCCCCAGTGATGAGCCTGACTTCTGGAAAAGCCATAATGGGCTACTAAAATAACATCTACAAAACGAAGCGCGCAAATGGCTGACATCAAGAGGTCTTGCCCTGGTTCAACAGTGGACTCAAATGCCGGCTTTGTCAAAGTAAAATGATAGCAGCCCTGTTAAAGCGGCATCAGGCGGCACCAAAATGTGGGTCCATGCGGTGGATGGACAAAACTCATCTCGCACCAGTTGGGATGGACGAAACACTATGATCAAGCACCAGCTTTTGCAGGATTTTGTCCGTCCACAGCATGTTGAGTATGTTTGACCCTCCAATGTCAAACAGTGACATATGCTGATCCGGTGAGCCGTTTCGGGCGATCAAAGAACGTGTGGGACCAATCTCGGATCATGTCCTGACACTATGGGTGTGTCTCAAAACTGGGCACCTCACAAAATCTTTAGTTCCCTTTGTGTGTCCCTTTAAAGCCATTCCGAAGAGGTCTCCTCACAAAAACACACTTACTCCTGTATACAGCCACAACAATCAGCAGCACGATTCGACGTTCCTGAAAAAGAAGCTCATGCTACACATGTACCGCCCTAACTGAAGTCCTGCTTGATTTGGCTGCATGAAAAAACATGGGCATGTACATGCTTGCCTGTCCATGTCTGTCTGCAATGTGGCTGCATACATTGGTACATGTGCATTCCTGTGTGTCCCTGGACGTTTGTATACCTGTATATTGAGTGTACATGTGTACACGCATCCATATGCCGCCACTTGCCATGTGCGTTCAGTCCAACACGAGCCAATCAGAGTCACTGCGCAGCTTGGGAACCTACCTCTTCTTGTTGTTGCAAGCGGTTTCGTTTGTAATTGCAACTGCTAAATCCTTTGCGATAGCTTTCTGCTGTTGTTTGATCCTCATTCCGAAAACAACAGGTTACTGCAGGTTGCTTCGCGCCAAACGATGCCTCCAAATGTGCATGTCCGTGTCGTGGATTGCCAGCAGGGCTTGAGGGAAACTATTGACTCCCCTCGTGTTTGAGCAATGTGATTTATAACTTTATAACTGCTTATTGATAGGAGGGTGGGGGCCCCGCAAGTGAATCCCACTTAGAAAGCCGTTTGAATCCGACTAAAACCAGGGATGAACCCCCACTACAACCCCCACTTCAAAGCTGGTCCGAGTCCCCACTAAACCCAGGAAAACCCCCATCCCTTCGAAATTGGTCTGAATTTTATCCGGGCCTAGAGCGCGAGCATGGCGCTGCGCTGGAAATGTTGTGTGTGTGTGTGTGTGTGTGTGCGCTCCTCGTCTGCGCAAAAGGCCAGGAGCGTCTGGAGCGAGCTCTCGACCTCCGCCGCAGAATCAGAAGGGTCGTTCTTCCATCTATCATCTCGCATGCTCGAAAAAGTTGCGGACCTGCCGCGGCCGCGATTTGGGCAAGGCCGGTGTTGGCGAAGTTGCCCTCTCCCTTACGAGTGCCGCGGGCGACGGCAGCGGCGAGCATTGATCCTCACTGAAATCAGGGACACCCCCATACCCCTCCAAAACCCCAGACCCCCCCTTACCTCTCCAAAACTTGCCCACAAAAACCAAAACTGGCAAAAACTAGGGACCCCCCACCCCAAATTGGCGCCCAATGGCGGAAAAGCGCCAAAGGACACGGAGTCTCGAACGGCAGCTACCAGACAAGATGCACGAAGCCCTGGGTAAAACATGAACTAAAACACGGACTCCTTGTTTAAACATGAAAAACAACACATTGTTTAAACACAAGTGGTTGCTGTTTTTATGTTTCAACAAGTTCCTCTCAGCCCCCCCCCCCAAGCATACTTGCCCGGGGTCTGGTTTTCAAAATTGCGCCCTTTACCGCGCCTGACTGGATGCCGGTAGAAGCCAGAGGCTTGAACCTCGAGAGGTCCGCTGCCTTTCTTTAAACATGACACCCCGAAAAAGCGAAAACTATCGGTACAGGAATGTTGCGGAATATGCCTGTGTGCGGGTGTCAGCATAACCCCACCCCCCCAAACAAACTCTTCTTGTTGGCTTTCTTTTGAAACTACCTGTAACAAGGGGCAACACATGTTGTGAGTGCCCCCTCTACTACCCTGGAACCAATGGACCTTGCAAAGCACCACTCTCTTGACTTCTCACGGAGTAATTTGTGTCTAAGAACGCCCTATGAAGCCACCCCTGGCGCAAGTACCCGTAAGGTTTACCAAAGGTGGCTGGACGGTACGCGAAGGCTCGCCTGCAAACTGTAGCAGAAGAGGCCCAAAAAGGGAGCGTCATTTCCCAAAAGGAGAGTTCTTCGTAAGTGAGAGGGGTTTCTCGGGGGCCGAGGGCAAAAAAATGAAAGTCGTGTTTGCAGCGTTGCACGTGCGAGCTTCTTGGATTGACACCAAGCACAGGACAATCCATCTTCTACCTTGCTTCTAAAACCTGAGGCAAGGGCTTCTCAAACACAGGACCTGCATCATGGTGAGCTCTTTCTACCCACACAAGCCTTCCATAACACTTGCAAACTTCATGCTGCTACTGCTACTACCGCTGCTACTGCTACTGCTGCTGCTACTGCTACTGTTACTGCTGCTGCTACTGCTACTGCTCCTGCTGCTGCTATTGTTTGCTACTGCTAGTACTACTACTACTACTACTACTATTACTAGTACTACTACTACTACTACTACTACTACTACTACTACTATTACTAGTACTACTACTACTCCTGCTACTGCTACTGCTACTGCTACTGCACTACTACTACTCCTACTACTCCTACTACTCCTACCACGCCACTCTTGCATCTGCAAGAGCCAAAGAAGATATAACAAAAGAAAACAAAAAACACGCGCTTCCGCTGAACTTGTTAGCTGCCTATTCTGAGCTTCATAGCACGTAATAGCAAAAGGGGAGAAAACATCCAAAATCAATAATTTTAGGAAAATAAGCTTGTTTAGCGGTTAATCCCGGATAAGTATTCAAAATCACAACTTTGCACACGCCAGCCGCAATGGTAAGCGCACCCGCTCAGCACAGTATCCACGCCAGCCAATTGGTAAGCTCACTCGCTCGCGCGCGCCCGCTGTTTACACACGCCATGAGTGGGTGCACAAGAGCGGGTGCCTAACCATTTGGCTGGAGTGTGTGCGGTGCTAAGCGGGTGACGTGAGCGGACGCGCTTACTGTGCGACTGGCATGTGTGCAGTGCTGAGCGGGTGCACGGGAGCAGGCGTGCCTACCATTTAGCTGGCGTGAATTCAGTGCTAGCGGTTGCACGTGAGCGAAAGGGTGTGTGCAGCGCTGAGCGGGAAGCTAAGTTTCGGCAAAAAAACGTGAAAAGCAAGGGCCCGAAAAAACAGGCTTCTGAGAAGTCAAGCTAGGTTTCAGCAAAAACAGTTGAAAACACAGGCTCCCGTAGAGGTACTGTAGAGGCAGCGTCACCAAACACAAGTCCTCACAAAATCATTCCCGCCCACCATCTATAACATGGCACTTGAGGGGGGGGGGGTCGTCCTGCAAGGCAATCAAGTGGATTCCATGGTACCCCAGACCATGATGACTGTGGGAGAATTTGTTCGGGTAGCTGATGTTCAAGCAAACCACAGAAAGAATCAACTAGCATAAAAGTAGAGAACCGCTGGAGGTTGTGCAACTCGGGCTCGAATAAACGGGTGGCGATCGCCAAGGACAATTCTGTGTAGCATCCGAGTTCGAAACCCACTTGGGTCTCTGTGTCAAAACAGGGGAACACCTGAAATGGTGGTCGCTCTTGGTTTGCCCTTTAAGCGACCCATTGTGAGGGAATCCAAGAACTCAGTTTTTGTCGATGCCATTTGAGACTTGGTCTGATTCCGAGGCCCAGACAATCGCTTGCCACTGCACGGAGCTCTGAGACCGCAGCGCAGCGCTGGCCTGGCGGGCTGCAACCAGGGTTCCCCATATGGTTTCTCATCGGAACATGGCTGGTTTCCTACCAGCCAAAAGGGCTTCTCCACGATGAGCATACCACTATGGCTCAACATCAAAGACAGGAGACCGCAGCAGGCTTCGGCCGTTTCCTCTACATGGAGGTTGGGTGTGCCTGCTTGAGCCACTTTAGCATCAACCAGAGAGGAAACTCCTGTTAAGATTAGCCCCCAGATATTTATTCAAACCATCAAGGGGAGCTGTGAAGAACCCTGTGAACTATGGGTGAAACATTGAGGGTCGCTTGGTGGTTTGCACGAGAAGCCAAATAAGACCTAGGGCCAGCCTTCTTGGAGGCTGTGTTGCCGCCGTGTTTTTTCGGCCACTGTCATTTGCCCGTCTTGAGAAACACACCCAGCAAAATTGTGCGATTTGAGGTCTCCTCCACCAAAAAAGACACTCACCTAGAACTTGTATAAAACAAAAAGCGGCGATTTGACTGGCTCAAGGAAATATGGAGACCCCTGTGAGGGCGGACATGGTGTCCTCAAAGTGAGCAACAATCAACACCTGGCTTTCCCATAATAAAAATCCAAATCACAAAAGAGGTCGCAGCCATTCATGGCTGGCACCGTCCTCTCAACTTCCAGTGTTGGTTCTGACTCTGATGGCAATCTGCAGCACTTGCGTGCTTTGCATCATGGCTCGCAACCACGCGGTGGCGATTTGATGAGATACTCCAAAATGGGTGAGCATCATGGTTACACATGCAGACCCAGTAGGTTAAAACTTCAAGAGATCCAGATTGAATCCAAAGGCTTGGCACTTGTGGAATTGCAACTGCTCAAGTTTTTAAAGCCCTTCTGCGAGAGTTCTGGGAGCGACAAAGGCAAGCTGGCGCAAGGCTTTGGATACCCAGGCTTTGGTCCTAAATGAGCGCAAACACAGTGATGGGGCGTGTAGTGTGAGGTGCAAATCATGCTCGCTAAGTGAGATCTTCGTTTGCCAATCGGCACAGTGGGTCACAGAAAAGGAATGGATCGTTACACTCGTTTCGCCCGCAAGGCAGGGTCGAACATGTCACTAGTAGCAAAGTATCTTGGCCCAGCTCTGAGGCAGATTGATCGAACTTAGTCGGGCCCGCAAAACATGGGGAGACCCCAAGCAATATTATGTCTTGATACACATGAAGACATTTAAGACGTCAGCAACAAACGACAAGGTTGCATAATGTAGGTACTCGCACACCCCTTTTACTTGCTGACATAAAGCGAATTGCGCTATCCACTCTCACCCTGGTGTACAAACCTGCAGAGTATCCACTGCTTAAATATCAGGGAACCCACCAAACGAATCTATGGCCAGGAACAAAGCCTCCGTTTTGGATCCAGGAACCCCTGTTTGGGAACATGTGTGTGCATGAGGGTACGCACTTTTGGTTGGTTTGCACGGGAAACCAAAGCCATTCCGGGGGTCCCCAAACAACACACACACACACCCATACTATATTGTTAAAGGGCAGACGAAACATGGAACAGAGTAAGACCATTGTGTATTTCCTTGTGCCCCTCCAATTTTAAGGATTTCCAAAAATTGAGACACACCTATTTGTCCAAGGCTGTCTTGCGAGAAAGGGGGAAAAGGCAGCGGCTCGGAGCTGGGGGATTTCTTTTTCCGCGAGAGCTTCAAGCGAGGGCGACGCTTAGCTTCAGCTTCGGCCGCTTCGGCCGCTTCGGCCGCTGCCCGCTCCGCCTCCGGTGGGTGAAAGTAGATGGCACCCCTCTTTTTCCCTCTCTCCACAGGGGAATGGTGCCATCCGCATATTCAGTCTGTTGCATTGTCAAACCCTGGCAATCCAAAAGAGTCTGCCACAAACATCAACATCAACAAACCAACGAAGAATCCGAAGGCTGGATATTCGCACCGTGAATGGCACTGCTGTCCCCAAAAAGCCCGTCCGCTAAAAGTCTTTGGCTTGTGGGAGTCACCGAGCCGATATTCACCTTGAATTTGGGATATCAAGCGTAGCATCCAACCACGAGTCATGGTGAAGTGGGTCAAAGCCATAGCTCCTTGTGGAATTCTGGCAACGCTTTTGATGATTGCCTTCGGGTTCAAGTGATTCACCTGAAAATGGAGAAGCACAGAACACAACTCGAAAAAGCGCAGAAACATAGTAACCGTGTGTGTGTGTGTGGGGGTGTGGGTGTGTGTGTGTGGCTGTGTGTGCGTGGAAAGAGAGCGAGAGACAGGGAGAGAACCAAAGAAAAACAAAAAAAGAAACATGAATAAAGAAATAAAGCAAGAAAGACAACACGAAAGAGAAATAAAGAGAAATAACGAAGGAACGAACAAATAAACGAACGAACAAACGAAAGAAAGAAGGAAATAAAGAAATAAAGAACGTGCCAGAGTGAGAGAAAGAAGGAAAGAAATAAATAAAGGAAGGACGGAAGAAAGAAAGCAGGAAAGAAAGAAAGAAATAAAGAAGGGAAAGAAAGAAACCAATAAACAAAGAAAGCAACACAAAATACAAACCGACATAAACAAAGAACAACACAATCATACAGAAAGAAGGAACGGAACAGCTAACTAAATAACTAAGGAAAGACAGAAATAAAGGAAGAAACAAATCAGAACACATTGCTTTTTAAAGAAATAACAGGTGCGCGCTCGTGTTGTGTGTGTGTGTGTGTGCGCGTGGATCAGAAATCACTCTCTGCAAACGTGCTATGCGAGCCAGTTTGCGGACTGCAATTGCATTAAGTGGAATGTCTTGCTTAAACCATCAGTATGCCTGGCACGAGCCTGCACCTTCTTTCTCAATGCTCAGGAGTCGTAGCAGCTTTGACTTGCAGGTTCCCCTGTGGCTTCCGTTACTGGAATCCCCAGGTTCATTCCCAAAACCCTGAGTCATTCCCTCCTATCGCACAAGCAATGCCCCGATGCATTCTCAGCACTTCCTGACATTCGCATTGCGCGAGAGGACTTCTAGTTGATGACATGACAATCGGTGACGTTGAGGTCAGACTGACAAAGTCTTAGTAGGTTCAAGCCGCAACAACTGCGTTCAAGCACACAGGTCAAGATCTCATGAGTCAAATATTCAGTATGTCTCCGATTGACGCGGGAACTTGCTGCAAGCACAAGTTTCTTCTTGATAATTCAGGCCGATCCTGTAACTTTATGGCAGTACATGATACTGAAACGCTGTTGCTACGAGACCTCATGTATAGAAACCCTACACATGTGCAATTATGTCAAAAAGGGTCCCAGCACAACGTGCGCCTCAGCGCGTGCTGCACTCAGCTCCGGCAACTCTCGCTGGAGTTCCTGCGCTGGCTTGTGAGCTTGCCGCATGCAAAGGGCAAGATCAAGCAGCTAAAAATCCAGAAGCAAGCTGCAATCAGCAAGCAACGCGTGCACGCAAGCACGCACGCGCGCAGAAAATGCACGCAAGCACGCATGCACCCAAAACACCTATGCACGCCACAAGACAAGCAAGCCGAGACAAAGGGAGCCAAGCAATGCAAAGACAAGCCGAGCCATGTCTGGAAAGCAAACCTGCAAGCAGGCAACTCGACCGAACACACAAAGAAACCAGCAAGCAAGCAAGCAAGCAAGCAAGCAAGCAAGCAAGCAACCAACCCAACAAATAAACAACCCAACAAAGAAACCAAGAAACCAACGAACAACTGAAATAGATAAATACATAAATACATAGATACATAAATAAATAAAGGAAGGAAGGAAGGAAGGAAGGAAGGAAGGAAGAAAGGAACAAAGGAATCAATAAAGGAACAAACAACAAACGCACCATGAACATCAACAGCAACAGCAGCAGCGGCGGCCGCAAAACGATCAACAGCATGGGAACAAAGGTCAAATGCACTTATGCCTCTCTGCACCCTTGCGCGCTTGAATGCATCTTAGCCAGCTGTCTTGGTTGCCGCAAAGCAAAACCAATGTGTTCCAATACGTCTGATTGTTGTTGTTCTAGGGAAACCCTCTTGTGGGTTGCTTTAAAGGGAACCAAAAGGAGAACCACCAAGTTTGGGGTCCCCTAAAAAGAGACACCCCCCATCTCCCTCGCAAAGCGTGTGATATGCCCGTGCACCTGCCTTGCTCTCAGCGACCGTCGCCGAACTTCGAACTTTGCGCTGTGTCGGCGGGCGTTCGTGCGGTTCCTCGACAAGGAGCAGCGAGTGTTTTTTGAATGCTCTGCCTTTTGTGGGGTCACCATACTTTGACGCATGCCTAGGCCCTATGAAGTTCAAGAGAAGAAGCCAAACAAAAGCAAGCTAAGATTACAGTATACCTTCGCATTTCAATCGTACATAGCATGGGCACATACAATGTTGCGCGCAGTCTGCACCCTTCATTCTGTCTGTCGCAAGCAACCAAAGGCAAACCACAAATGGTTATCGAGCGACAAGGGTGAAGAGTTGAAATCGGTCTGACTCGTTCCACGCAAAAGCTATTTCCCAACCAAGCCCGCCGCATCGCCTGAACTCCTCACAACATCTCACAACCACATGGCTGCGCCGCACATCTGCATCTCACACTCCTCTGACAGTCGTCGCATTCCCCCTGCCCTCATGCCTGGCTCTCAGCGATCTCCACGCAGATTGGCGCTGACTTCGCCAGTCTGACTTTGCGCTGCGCAGTCGGCGGGCTCTTCTGGCAGGGGGCCTCAAGATGCATGGTGACTGCGCGGTACTGCTCAACTGCAACAGCGCAAGTCCGTTGTGTACCTACCACGCAGCTACCATCCATGATCAGATCAAGCCAGCCACCATTGTAAGAAGCTAGCATGGTGCCTCTTTCGCACTTGACACACGCACGCATACATCTTGCATTGTCTCAAGCAACACTGATGTCAGCAGTCTGCACTGTCTGCACCCCCATGCCATCTGCCTGTCACATGCAACCACAGCCAACCAAGCATATGTCGCGTTTCATATGCAAACTGCCATCCGCCTCCGAAGTACGCTCTGCACTTCTCCTCAAAGGTGACACCTCCCGCTGCTCTGCCTGCAACGGATTTGCTTGCAACACTCGACGAAGGCTGGTCCTGAAAAACTGCTTCATGTGCCTGTTCAACCAGTTCCCTGCTAGAAAATCCAACCTGGCCAAGGACAATCATGTACAAACAGCAGCGTGGCTCGTTCGGGTGATCAACACCACAATGGTTGCTGGCCCCAATGGCTGAATCCTGACAACACCTACCCGCGTCAACACCAAATGTGCCCACAGCATGCATACTTGTGTCTTACAATTTTCTGTCAGTCCTCGCTTTCCCCCAGCCCTCATGCCTGTCTCTCGGCGCATTCTTCCACGCTGGTTGGAACTGACATGGATAGTCGGAGTTTGCGCCGCGCTGTCGGCGGACTCTCTTGGCAAGCCTGGACAGGCACAGGTGTCATTGGCGCAGTCGCAGCCGCATGCTCGGAACAAGTCATATAAAGCAACCGCAGGCTCATCTCTTAGCCTGCGAAGCACATCTTCCTTCCCTCAAGAGACATTTGGGTAGCCATTTGTGTAAATAAGAAGCCAGTATTTGCACGCTGCGCATGCTGCCTTTCACATGCAAGCAAAGCCAACCCCCGCACAAAGGGTTCAGTTGTTTGACTACCAAGGTAGACTTGAACCTTTCCTTTTGGGGAAATGAACCATGTCTGGGTTTAAGTCTACCTTGGGGAAATCAACAAATGGAACCCTGTCCGCGCATGTGACAAGACGCATGAGACTCAGACTTGCACAACTCAATCGGGCCTCAGAAGTGCGCTCTGCACTTCTCAAAGGTGAAAACTCCTGCTGCACTTGCTGCAACGGCTTGGTCCAGACCACCTTGGCTGTGACCGGCATGTCTGCAAAAGCCACTGGACACATGTCTTTGATCCAGTCACTTTGTAGGCTTTGTCATATGTTGCAGCTCAGAAAAAGTCCAAATAGCATAAACTGTGACACAGTATACCTGTAGCTTTGTGCTGCTGCAACAGTTCCGTCTCTGTGGCAGCTCTCCGCCCACTAGTACCCAACGACTCAAGACTTTGGAAGGCGTATGTTAGTCTTGTGCCTCACAAAGTACCGTCCATTAAATCAGGGAGAGGAACCCTTCACAACATCAGCCAAGGGGACTTCGTTCAAGCGTCAAGCAGGGCATTTCGCGCGCCTCGTGCGTACCCGCCGCTCCCAAAGGCGAAAACTCCTCGTTCAGGTGAGATCCATCCAGAGCCTGCAGGGTTGCAAGAGATCTAACATCACACCCATAGCTTGATATCTGGTAGCGAAAAAAATGGCCATGGAAGTTGGTTTGTTTGTTGCTTTTCTTTGTTGGGGGTGTGCACAACACTGTGGGGTACATCTAAAAATCTAAAACGGAGTTCAAGGCAGGAGACCTTGAAGCAGCTGACATTTCCCACTTTGCCGGCCAAGCGGGGACACTTCTGGAAACCTGCAGAGCGTATAAGGCCTGATTTTGAATTATTTGGGATTCCCCCCCCCCTCCCCTCCCCCCCAAAAAATAAAAATAAAAATGAAAATGATCTGGCCTCTTCAGCGCTTATGGTCGCCGGACTCGTCTCGCCGGGTGCCTCAGGAGCCATGGGCGTTTGGGGTACCCCGAAAATGGTGTCCCTCGTTGGTCGCCCGAAAAGAAACAAAGCACAACGCCAAGAAGGCAAAAAGGGGATCCACTGCAAAACACGAATGAGCAAAGTGTCAAAGCTGGGGAGAAACGCAACAAATGAGAAAGACAACAGGTGTCAAAGTGGAAAAACACGTGAACACACCATGAAAACAAGGACAACTCTCCGCGCCTCGTGTGTCTCCACAGCCCACAAGGGCGAATACTCCAGGCTCGCCGGGGCGTGGGGGGCCGGCTCTGCCGGCTCTGGCTCCACAGGGCTTGCCTGTGGCAATCAGGGCTTCACAGAGCCATTGATTTCAGGCACTCTGCTAGGTTGTAAGTAGGGTGTCCGTTTTTAAACCCCTTTAAAAAAGTCGATAAAGAAAGCTGCATGGCTGCATGATTGGAACATAGAGCGACACCAGGACAAAGGATCGATCCAAGCCAGGATAGTAAGTAGGTGACCAGGGTTTCTTACCTGGGTTTTGCATGGCTTCCCCTGGTTATGGTAACGGGAGCAATGGGATAGAAGTCAAATCCCTGCATGAGGCTTCGGACCGGGGCCGATGAATCCAGGAAGGTTACAGCTACAATTCGCTCATCCCGAAGTGCCCATTGAACCCTCCTCAAAAAAACAACTACACTACAATCATCCAAAGCATCGTTTCGACCTCCCCGCAAAGCTTTGCGCTGAAAAAACAAACTGTTTGGCGGGGCGAGTTGCGACGCTGTTCACACCGTGCTTCCAAGCAAAACCGAAATTGATCCACAAATGAACGTCCCAACATGTGGGCAACTCCCAAAAGTGGTTGGTCTCCATTTGTCCCTACACCAGCCAAAAGAAGATCAGGAGCTCACGCACAGCACTTCAGCAGGAATTGTTTGACCCGATCGTAAATGTACAAAAGCTGGCCCCTGGAAAGAGAAAACTAAAGAAGCTATAGCCAGTTTTCGACCCAAACATACCGTATAGGAAGTTTAGCCATTGGTTTAAGGTTCAGATAACTTAGTTTAACCACTTGCTCCACGCAAAATTGGGTCTCAAGCAGGGTGCTCCGTCGACTAGATGCCTCCGAACAACGCCCACACAAACACTGCTCGTTGTACCCTTAAAAACCAGCCGACCAAAATTTGCCAAACGACTTCGTTTGAAAGGTGATGCTTCAACCACTGAGAAATGGTTGATTTGAGAACCCACTCGCACCAAATGCCTCCTTCACGTCCTCGATGCCAAGGCCATACTCCTTCGGAAGTTGAGAACATGCTGGTAGCCTCACTTCCCGATTGGCCCACAGTCCCACAGTTTTCGTCTACTGCTAAAATTGTCTTCCCATCGTAATGCCACAAGATTCACCATCTTCCGAAAATGGGGAAGACAAAAAAACGAATCGCAAGTCAGGGACCCTCGTAGTAAGCATGGCGTTTCTCCCTTGGGCAACAAGAGGAGAAACGAAGCAAAGACCTGGTCAACCCCATTGATCCCGGATACCCAAAGGCTTCAAGCAGATTTCAGATCCCTTCAGTTGGCGGTTGTTGAACTCAGGGACCCCCAGAAGGGTTCGCAGGCAACCTTCAAAGAATCTCAGAGAAGGAGTCTGAGAACCGGAGAACTGGGTGGTGGAGGGGGGGGCCCCTCATGTTTCTCCTGAAAGCAACTGTTGCAAATCACCGCACTTGGACTTGTCCAGATACGCGTCGTTTGAACAAGGAGCCTTTCAACGGGCAAATCATAGATAGCATCACATACGCTCCTGGCTACCATTCGCTGCACATGCAAATATGCAGTAATCGCAGATGGGTACGAATCCTAACAGGGCACCCTTTGACGGACATCATTTCTGTGGGGCCAGCAACCACGTTTGAGGTGGTCCATTGAAAAACATGGCCATCCACCCGTCCTTTCTGAGTAAGACACACATTTCTTCCGAGCTCTTGAGGTCCGAAATCTGTGCCACGGAAAGTAGAGTCTCACCGGAGCTGTCCGTGGCGTGGACGTCTCCTAGCCATGCCAAGGAGTCTTTGGGATAGCCTCCGTGGGACGGGGTGTTCACACGGTTCCCTAAAATTATGAAGTCCGAATTCACAAAAACACAAGTGTGATAGAGCGCTGAAGCTTCAGCATTGAAGCATCTAAACTTCTCAGCCTGTTGCAAGCCAGGAACTGCGTGCTGCGTGCGGCTGATGGTTCATTGAAGGCGTTATGCTCGAGTCCGTGGACAAACGAAACGACCCGTCAAATCCAGCATAGCTCTGCTCCCGTCCACTTTTGAGGCAAAGGGTACGGGGAAGAAAGGGCACCCCTCTTGTTGCTTGATTTGAAAGGAAATTTGGAAGCCCTCTCTTTAGCACCAAAAAAAAGGAAAAAGATGAAACCCACTGGTATCAGTGGAGGTCTGGGCATGCACCCACATCAAGTTGAGCACCCAAAAGCTGGTGTTTCAACCAAACAATTGTCACCCAAAGGACTCAAATCAAGAGACCAAACGCAGATGTTACTTCGGAACCCTGCGAAAATGAAGCCAGTTCCGGGCGGGAAAGGGAGGATGCTCCTCCGAGGTGAATGAGAGCCAGCAGCAGCTGCTTTGAGCCGCTTTCCACCGCTGCGAAGAGGGGGGTCCTTCGAAGGAAGCACTGCGCCCCAAGACTGGAGGGTTCCGAGTCGCTTTCCTTTTCGGAGTCTGTTCTCGGACTTGTCAAAGGGAAAGCAAGAGGGAAGCGTCCATTTCAGAGGCTCCCTATCCCATTCAGAGACAAGCCCATCAAATCGAGAATGGTGCATGAATTTTCTGCTGCTTTTCCTTCACCATCCCAAAAAGGGTAGTCCGAAAAACGGACACCCCCAGCAATGTGTTTGAGGACAAGGGTTCGACTTGCCAAAAGAAGCAGGCCCAAGATGTCCAAAGCGTCAACCAAAACCTTCACCTTCAACTGCCCTTCGAGCCCCGGTTTCGCAATGGTTGTCCTTTAAGGACTTGAAAGGGCAGCTTGGCCCAGTTGCGGCGGATGGGACCAGAAGCCAGGGCTCACCCCCGGCACCCCCGCCTTAAAACCAGTCAAAACCCGCTCAATTTCCCCCCCAGAAATCAAGCAAATCCCCTTCAGTTAAATTGTCTTGGTCAAATCCCCGCAAAACCCACCGAATCCCCCTCTCCAGAAACCAATCAAATCACCCCTATAAACCAGTCAACTTCCCATCTAGAAACCAATCGAAAAACCGGTCAAATTCCCCTGAAGCCAATCAAACCCGCAAAAATCCATGGAAATTTGCACCTTCGCTTGGCCCCCTTGAAACCATGTGGAAACACGCGGACCCTTTACCTTGGCTCGCTCTAACAACTTCAAGGCAAACTAAAACACAGTACATACCTCAAAACCCGCCAAAAGCGGAGTGGCCGAGGCGGGCAACGCGAAGATTTGCAATAAAAGGCGAACCTCTTGGAATACAATGATCAGGGAACCAAAAGGCTCAAAGCTCGATTTGGGCAACCCCGCAAAGAATCAAAGGCCACTTCTGGGACCTTGAGTAGTTGGGTTCCCGGGCCCTTTTGCCCAACCCCCAACTGGTTAAAAGGACAACTGGCAGAGAGGAAAGATATGTGGGGAGAAATATGAGGAACACTGGCAAAATATTGCTTCCCAAACAGGTCCCAGTTGCTTCTGAACAAAGCGCAGAAAGTCTTGAACAACCCCATCCAGCCAAAGGAAACAACTACTCACATGTTTTTTTGGGCTGCAAACACCTCTGAAACTTTGTTTGATGCCTCTCTGGGGTTCATGTCTGGTCAAATGGCTCAGGCTGAGTCCGAAAGGAGATCTATCGACTGGGTCTTTGGGGTGCCATGTTAAGCTGGGAAGTGCCCAAGGGCAAACGGAGCATGTTCTTCGGCGGAAAGCTTGTAGGATGAGCTCGCTCAGCATTTCGGCAGGGAAACATCACAGCACTGAATGACTCTCCGGATTTGCTTATGGCTCCATTTGCCCTTAGGCAAGATACACGGGAAGCACCAAATCAACCGCCCAGTCAAGTCAAGTCCAACCCTCCAGTCGAGTTTGTTTGCCTTATGGCCTGGCGGATGAATCAACCTCGCAGAGTCGCATCCGTGCAACTCCCCCAATTGCCAGAACCAGGTCTCCTGCAAAATGGGAGTTGTACCCTCCAAACAAATCAATGACCTCCATCTTTGACTGGTCATTCTTTCGGAAAATGGGTTGTACCCTACAAAGAAATCAGTCAACTCCATCTTGGGCCTCTTTTTCCTTGGTCAGCATTTGTCCTAAAATGCATCCCTGGCCCCTACCGCAAAAAAAAAACACATTAATTCACCCAAGCCAGTTGACAAAAATCAAGCCGTCTACAATTCCTAGGATCTGAAACCAGGAGCCCCCACGTATTTGCCTTAAAGCCATCAAGTGATGGCATGACACAAGGGGCCAAATAACTTCAACTAGTTTGCCTCTGAGATCCTGACGAATGTTGGCCTTCAAGTGACTGAATCCTAGTTGTTTAGGCCCTCATGGTATAGTTGGGAAAAACTCGATAGCACAACCTCCTCAACTGCGGGTTTCATCATCTCTCCATCCCATAAACCCTGTTCGGTTACTCTGAACGTCTTCTAGCAAATGTCTCGGATGCTACACACATGATTCACACGATTGTCCTTTGGTGTCTTGTTGTGATCCCTGCTAACATCTAAATTCCCGGTCCTACCACAACTCACACAACGCCAACTTGCACATGCCCGCCACATGGTTGTTGTTGTTCTGGATGAATTTGGTGGAGTCCCTTCGGACCCTGGGCGCATGGAACCTGTCCTGCCGGCGTCATCCCGCTGGCCGAGAGAAGCGTTTCGCTTCCTCACATGTCATAGGAGCCAGAAATAAGGCTATTTTTTTGGAACCTTGACTAAAACATAGACGAATACCGTGGCAAAATTAGATAACATCAATAAATGTTCAGTTTGAATCGGTTTATAGGTTAAAAGGGTAAGTGCTTCTTTTTCTTTTTGGAATTTTGCAGCTTCATCACAAAACAGGTTGAAACCCAAAGCTCAGATCCGGTCGACTCTCGCTTCTAGCGAGCATCAGCAGCCGCTCCGCGCAGTTCCCCGAAGAGGAGAAGAAGAGAGCGCTACGGCCGCTGGCGTCCAGCGCATTGACATCTGCCTTGCGCCTGCGAAGCAAATGTGATATATATATATATATGTGTATATATATGTTATCTCTATATATATATATATTATGGTACCCACCCACCCCACCCCGGGAGGGGACCTGTAACAAAAAGGTAAGTCCGGGGGGGGGGGGGGGGCGCGGGGGTACCAGATACATGAATAAATATATATTCTGACTGGTGCTCGGTAGGGAATGAGGGAATGAACTAAGGGGTCCCCTTAAAGGAAACCACAAGGGATGGTTGATAGGGGTCATTTCCTGAGCCCCAGCAATGCAAGTATTTCCCCAACAGCTGAAAGCTATGGGGTCTGCCCAGAGCGGCTCTGGGATGGTTTGGGGCAGCTTTCAGGGAGGAAACAGACCAGAGATTCCAGCAATTGTGGGGATGTTGGGTAATAACCTGGGCTTATTTTTTGAGGGTACCGCTCCCCCCCGCGAAAAAATTATTAAAAAAAAAATGAAACAGACAACTGTGTTGTTCCATTTGGTTTCGCTTGTAACCAACGCCCATATTGGGTGTTTTTTGGGGAACCCTGTTTGAGGTCCCCAGATATATTGATCCAGCCCAAAGAGAATCAAAACGAGTTGATTCAACAACTGCTTTCCGAAGAACTCAGGTTTCCAGGTTCCCCGTCGTTTCCCAAACCGATCAAACTTGGTTCCAATTCCAGCAGATGGAAAAAGGGTGGCCAAATGGGAACTCCAAGGGTCGAAATCGAAGAACTCCATGTGCCAGAGAATGCATGGCCTCTCCCCCCAAACTCCACACGTGCAAGTGGGGAGGCTGGTAACCATACCAAACCGATTCGTTTTCATGGCCACCTCCGACTAGCTCGAAATCGCAGCCGGTGTGCATTGTGCATGGCCCGGGTCCCGTCAAGAGGTCTCTGACAAACCCCTAACATGAAAGATTGCCCAGGGACAAGGGACAAGGGATGCAAAGGCTACACCGAGGAGAGGCTTCTAACACATAGATATATACATATATTTATACACATATATATATATATAGTGCAGGGTCTCTGAAGATTATGAGACTGAACGACTCCCAGGGAAGCCTTGTGAGTAATTCGGGCTTCGCATTCTACTTGCAGATTAGCTCCAGTCAATGGGCAATTGCCAGTCAGGATGGCACTCGAGACAGTTTGCCCTCTATGGGAATGTGGCCCCGTGTTCCCACCAGGCCGAAAATCTAATACCACCCAGGTACCAAATGGTGACAGGGAAGGCAAGTCACCACGTCCATACTTTACGCATCCCTTTTTGCAGAGTACTGTGTTAGCCTTTTGGAGGCAAACCATTAACAGAGGCACTCCTTAAGGGACTTTCATTTGAATAAAATGGCAAAACAACATACATCAATCCGTCATGAATGTTTCCCTTTGAAACCAACAGAGGAAAACCGCAAAACATATCGTCAGTCTTAAATCATGTTCCTTTGAAACAAGGGCTTCAATCAGAAACCGAAGGACTGTTTCTCATGTGGAAAATGGCCCTGTGCTTTGATAACAACATGTGAGCAATTCACATAAATGTTTCATCACTTTGAAGGGGAATCCCTTGGCCACAGAAAGTGGCCAAACAAAAGCCAGTCTTCCACAACCATGCACATGCTTTACAAGAGGAATCAAAGAAACAAACACAAAACGGAAACAACATGAATCAAACAAACAAACAAACAAGCCAGCTAACAAACCAAACCAAACCAAATCAAACCAAACCAAACCAACAAACAAACAAACAAACAAGCAAACAAGCGAACAAACAAACAAACAAACAAACAAACAAACAAACAAACAAAGAAACAAAGAATCAAAGGCGTACCAGTCATACCGTTTCAAGAAAGGTCTCTTTCGAAACTGTTTTTAGGCACAACAAACCAGAGAAAACCACAAGAAGCTATGCAATCCCCACGAAAAGCTGCATAATACTTAATAACAATAGCAAATCCCTACAACGATCTGGGCCCCCCCAAACAAAGCGCACAGTGCCCGCCCTGCAAGGCCCTCATGGCAGCTACGAGCCTCAGCAGCAGATCGACACATTGAGCAGAGCCAGCTTTGGCAGCCTCGAACAAGGGTGTGCGCTTCAACTCGTCCCGGGCGTTCACGTCAGCGCGGAGCTCAATCAAGGTTTCCTCGCTTCCATTTGCGGGGATAAGGCCCCTGGAGAAAATCAGAAAAATACAATATGTCCAGTGGTGATAGATTCTCTTCATAACCAAACATAAAACAGATAAACATGTTCCTAAGCAAATGGAAGCTCAGGCAGGCTCGACGGAGTATCCGAAATATAGCAACGCTGAGAGGGCACGTCGAACAAGTGTGAAAAGCGAAACACTAAATCATTGAAGCATGTTAAGACCTGTTGAATACTGCTTGACTCACATGAGATACATTCAAAAACCCCTGTCAACGCCAATGAGCGTGCACAAGCAGCTCATCAGATCTCTTAAAGTTGAGCTTGAGATTTGATTAGACTTCGTTCCGCGTCAGGTTTCGCATTGTGTCATTGTTGGCCTAACACATGCATGCCGGACGTGGTCATCATATACATCTTGTCTTGTTGTGGTGCCGCCCTCTATGCCATCGATGCCAAGTAAACCGAAAATCAAAGCGGTTTTGGAAGCTCACAGCCATGCAGCTTTGACCCACAAAGATGTTGCGGTGGTCTTCAAGCCTTTGCCGGATCTAGGGGGTGGTTTTAAAGAAATGGCATTGAGCTGAACCGGGAAACTCCATTTTCCACTCGACTCCAACGCTGTATGTCTGCAAATTGGTTCAAGGATCGGCTTTCGGCCGCATTCTGTTCTAAAATGGGCCACACCAATGACTACTTTGTCGTGTAGGGGATTCCCTTAGAACGGCCAAGGACAAAGCCTAATTTGCAAGCTTGGTTTGTGAGGCTGACGCGCAGGCTGTTGGGCCCAAGCTGAAACTGCCCTATGCTGAAGTACCTTACATAAATGATACAGCGCAGCCACATGATCCATGAAAGAAGGACCCTACTCATTCAAAAGTGACAGCATGATGCCTGCCATACTTGCCAATCAAGCCTAGGGTGGTCAGGTAAGGCCATTCTAAAATTCCCAATTTTGTCTTGATAGGATAGAGTTGACGGATTAAAGTGCTGACATGCCCGCACATGGCAGTGTTGCTTAACTTGCTCCCGGTCACACAGTCAGCATACGTATCGCGTTGCATTCCGCTTGCTTCGCACTCTCAAGTTCCAGGCAGCGGCACTTCGCATGCACCAGTCTCGATCACAAAATAATTCCTATTGCATGCTTATAGGTGCAGTAGATGTGCCATTTAGTTTGAGGTCAGGAGCACTTACTGCTTGTTGTCGCCAGGCATGCGTATTCCCTTCTATCCCTAAAGGCAGCACGCTAATGACTCACGAAGTTCAATTTTGTACCCTTTGCTTGACATGCACAATCATGCACAAGCGGATGTATGCAGCCACCAAATCTAATTTGAGGGCCTTCCCCATTGAGAGTCGTATCCGTTTGGCCTGAAAATTCTTGCTTTATGCAGAGTGGCCCTGCAAGAAAAAGGAACCTGGAAGGATTAGCAATAAACGATAGTAGACGACCAGGAGAAACGCTATTATATTACTATCTTATATTAATTTATATTTATTTTCTAATGCTTTTTGTCTTTTTATACATTTTGTTTATTTTATTATTATATTTGTATCTCATTTTAATATTTATTTTGTATATTATTGAAGTTATAGAAGCATTAGATAGGGAATGAAGGGACATCACATATTAGTTCCTAAGAAGTCAATTAGAGCCTTTTTGGGGTGGATCAATGTTAGTCAGCGTTGGACTTTGAGGGTGCCACTGAGGATTTCCTTGGCTTTGTACAAAGCCCCGCATGGGACGCAGAAACCAAACTGTGTTTGGCCCCATGGTTCAGTGATTCTTGGTAGAAAGTGACGTGTTTTTTGGGTCCCATTTGGCTGTAGCTCAAAATAGGGGCCCAACATGGAACCCTGGTAAAAGGCAAAGTAGACGAAAACCTGCGTATCCCTCGGTTTTGAATGTTGAGCCACACCCATTTGTGAGGTGTTTCACCCTCAAGGGCAAAGACATCTCTCTGCAGCTCAGGATCGACACGTTCAGCATCCGCCCAGGCTGCAGCATAGAACAACACCGTCTTGCCATCCAAGGCAGCGCGGTTGACATCCTTTGGCATCTTCTCCTGAACCTTTGGGAGCGTGGCCTGGGAAGTCTGCCGCAAACTCTTGGATTCATGGCCCTCCTTTTTGTCGCTCTTTGTGTCTGACTCAATGCCGTGCGTCTGCTTTGGGCGCTTGTCACCATGATCATTGGGCTTCGCACGCTTGTCACGGTCCTCATGTCGGTGCTTTCGATCCTCACGTTCGACCTGCTTCGGATCATCCCGCTGCTTCCGGCTCTTGTGATCCCTGTGCTCTTCATGGCCCTTGCCACGGTGACTCTTGTGGTCCTCATGGCGGCGCTTCCGGTGCTCCCTCTTGCGCTCACGCCGATCTTCGCTCCTATCGCTATGGCGTCGTCCGCGATTCTTGCTTGCAGCCCCGGACTCCTCCTCATTGTCAATGATGACCAGGACGTCACCTCCGTTTCGCTTCTCCTTGTAGTACTGCCTCTTCCTCCGCCCCTCTTCAGCTCGGTCCCTGGATCGCTGCGGCTTCTCCTGAACCTCCGTGTCAGGCGACTCTGCACTGAGCTCCTCGCAAGCGCAGCAACACGGGCGGGTGAAACAATGCAAATAAGTGGGCTAACATCAGCCAATCGATGACTCCCTTGTGCACCAAGCCTCTTGCAATGAGTGGCGTAATGCTAGGTGCTTGTTGCGGACCAGCGCTCTTGAAATCCAACACACGCCTGGGAAAAAGGTTGTTTGAGTGATGAGATCACGATCACACCATTATAGGCTGGTGCCTGATTGAAGATTAGCCTATGAATCAGCCAGGACTCCTTTCTCCAGTTGCGTGCCCATTGCAAACCTGAAGCAGAAGTTGTTGCATCTTTTGCGCTCGTGGCTGTTGCTTTTGAACCTCCGTGTGAGGAGCTAAGCAGCTAGGGCGGTGGAACTGGAGCCGGGCAGCCGTGCTCAAGCCATTGCTGGAACAGCAGCTTCGACATGAACACTCTTGTCGAGGGCTTGAAGGGGGAGGGGGTTCCCTGGACAAACTCGTCTTCTGCACGCCGTCCTCGCCACATCTGCATGTATTCTCGTGTGTGTGTCCGGCTTGTCTCTTCGGCGCACACAGTGCAAGGCTCACGAAATGTTGGACTTGAAAATCGGAATACGAAACCTACTACATGGGTTGTAGAACAAACCCCATTTGCTTGTGTAACTAACTAAAAGGCAGACCAAACAGCAGCTCAAGCATTTGCCTATCGCTGCCTGACTTATGTTTGTACTGGCTAGCAAATGTGTACAACTCCGAACACACAGCGAGCGTACTTTTCTTTGCACAATTTGTGACATAAGGATAGCAGCTAGGTTTGCAACAAACAAACAAACAAACAAACAAACAAACAAACAAACAAGCAAGCAAGCAAGCAAACAAACAAACAAACAGACACACAGACAGACAGACAGACAGACAGACAGACAAACAGACGGACAGACAGACAGACAGACAGACAGGCAGGCAGGCAGGCAGGCAGGCAGGCAGGCAGGCAGCCAGGCAGGCAGAAAGTCAGTCAGACACACAAACAATAAACAACAAGCAAACAACCAAACCAAACCAACCCCGTGCATCAGTCTTGGTTGAAGGGGTCTTGTAGAGCCCAACTTTTGCGGAAGCAACGCTACAAGAGCTACAAGAGCATCATTCTCCCCAGCCCCTCTCAACAAAACCTAGGCCCCCCGTGTGCTGCCTATAAACGACTGTACGGGAAAAACCCTTTATTTGGGAGTATGCCCCCTCCTCCTTGGGGTGGGCATGTGTCACTGCCAATCACGAGTTGTGTCAACGCACTCCCCTTCGCACCTTCAGTGGCTGTAGTCCGTGCTCCTACAGGGGCGAAGTCTGAACACTTCAACCTTTTCGAGGAAGAAGCAAATGTGACTAGGGTGTGCCTCAAAACTGGGCTGACCTCCAAAACAGGTGGTTTTCCGTTGGCTTTCTTCAAAGCCCCAAATCGAAAAAGATTCCAGTCTTCCCACGAGAAGCATGCATTTGGTCTCTGGGCAATGCCAGAACAGGAACGAAGCAACAATCAAATCCGGACATAGATGATCAGGTCCCACCCAAGAAAATTACGAAAACAAAGTCACTACATGGCTTTCTTCGGATTGCAAAGGCTGAAGATGTCCTCACAAGCCATGAGCAATCAACCCAAGAAAAGCCAAGGTGCCAAGGAAAAATGGACACCGTGCTGGGTGTACATGTATTTTGCCCATGTATGATGTTGCATAACCTCCATTTGGGATATGTCTCCTTGAAAATAAATCCACTAGTGATAGATTCCCTTTCAAACCACCTGGGGGAAATAACATATTCATCACCTCCTGAACCTCCTGAAGCCATCTCCAGCCATCTGCGAATTTGGCTGGTTAGAAAGGTGGAAATTTGTGTGGGCTCGACTGAAATGATGAAGACATCTGCTGACAAAAGCTCCTACCAGTAGTTTGCCAACTCAGCAAGCAAGGGCATGATAAGACGTGTCACTCGCTATGCCGCATCTTTGGTTGTTGCCAGAAAGTTATGATGTCTTCCTCGTTGGGGCTCACCATGAAGCTTGGGGGAAATCAGCCACCGAAGCCAAATATCTGGAATGTTGTACAACTAAGACTCCTGCAACGCCAAGAATCTCGGGTCACTGAACACACCTTGAATGTTGAACAACCAAGTCTCTGCGTAGAACACTCAAAACAGGCTGCCCTCTCCTTGATCAGTAGCGTTTTCATCTCCTTGCACACGCTTCGATCAGAGATCCTCTCGGCCGCGTGCAAGCACGTCCTAAGGCTTTCGGCTGTGCACAAACTGTCCGAGTGAACAGGCGACAACAGTCTGAAGACATCTGAACTCGCACAACCACACACGCAAATGCTCCGAAAAAGCACTGCAAGTGTTTGTGTGCCACCCAAAAACCTGCGACAAAGGATGTTTTCGTTCGGCCCGTTGCTGGAGAATAAGGGTTTAACCGGCCCCGTGGCTTGAGAATAAGGACCTTTCAACAAGGATTTAGTTGGTCGCGCGGGCCCTGTTTTTGGCTATCGCACACAAATTTCACAGCTGCATCGCTATCCAGTCAACCCTGGCTCAGCAAACTCTTGCAAAGCCAGCAAAGGGCAAGAAATTGCACAATTTTTGTCGCAATCTGCGTCTATCACAAATCCTCGAGCACTTGGCTGAGCCCAGCCATGGCATGCGAAGCATGCTGGCACCCTGATTCGATGTTTGGCAAGTGCGCGGTTCTGCAAGAACGACCAAAACTGAACTGGGCCTAAACCAAGAAGGAAGCAAGACTTGCGGAATCACAAGCAAAGACTTAAAACATAGAGTTTGTGCCAAGTTTGAGTTTTGAGCAAGACAATCTTTAGCCTAAACGGACACGAGCTGCGAGAATGCTGGATTTCAATAACCTTACGCTATCTTACGCTCAAACATTCTCATTCGCAAGGCTTGTGCAATTGCCAACGTAGGGTGCCTCAAAAAAGGCGCACCTGCAATTTGCCATATGTGCCATGGTCATAGGTCATGGTCGTGGGTGCCTCAATGTGACTCCTTTTCATAACAGCTGTAAACTCTCTGCTGTCCATGACCATTCCTACCACCCAAATTATCAGGGTGCTTCGACCACCCCCACCCAAAGAAAATATGGCTGGCCTCCTTTTGGTTTTCTTTCAACAGCCCCAAAATGAGTATCCTCAAAGAAAGGCACACGCTCACCTACATTTCTCCTTCAAGCGTCACCCCAACCAAGGGAAACTCACGTTTCAGTCGGCCAACAAAGGCGATGTTGAAAACAACCAAAGTGGCACAAGTACATGATGGGTGTTTTTTTGTTGAGGCCCAGTTTTTGCGTGGGTTTAAAGCGACACTAAAGGACCCCAACCGTTTTGCGGGTCGCCCCCCAAAAAGAGACGAACGCTGCGGCCAGAGGAGCTCGCCCAGGCGGTCCCTGCCATGCACATCGTCGCCCAGGGAAATCAGCGCTCGGACCATGGAGGGCAGTCCCCGACTCACTGCGGAGAAGACGGCCGTCCTGGGGGGTCTCGGGGGGCCGGGGAGCCCGAAGTTCGGATGAGCGGGGATCCTTACACTATACACCTGAACATTGCCTTGTAAATGGTGGTTTCCCTTTATTTTGGTGGAAAGAGCCATGTTTCAAATGGGCAAAATGTATCTTTTAAGGAGCCCTGATGAGTTTTGTTGGGTTTCTTTCCTGGTTTGCCTTTTCCTGGGTTGGTGGGTTCGGATGGGTGGCGTCCTCTCCCTTTTGGCCGTTGGTAAGCCCACGTTCAACCGTTTTGGGGTCTCAACAATAGACCCGTGTGTAAAATCGTGGAAACCAGTAGACTGTTTGAACAACGCCCTTTTAAAGGGAAACCAAAGGGGACAAGGGTCTAGTTGCTAAACACTCAGGATGAAGCAGCCATTGATATCTACATTGAATGGCCTCCAAATGCCTTGCTTCGGGCCCTGGCTTTTCACACAAACCGCGGCATATGAACAGGCTCCAAACAAAACCATGGAGTTTCTCTAAACAAACAAGTCAACACACACACACAAAACTAAAAAAACTCTCACACACACAACGTGCAGCCAGCCACACGAGCAAGCAAGGCAAGCAAGGCAAGCAAGGCAAGCAAAGGCAAGCAAGGCAAGCAAGGCAAGCAAGGCAAGCAAGGCAAGCAAGGGCAGCAAGGCAAGCAAGGCAAGCAAACAAAAGAGGAAAAACAAAAAACCAGGCAACAATCAAAACCAAACAAACAAGCACAGACTATCATTGACGCGCACAGGCATGTGGACACAAGCAAGCACACATGAGCTGGACATCTAAAGCTCCAAGGGTCCTTCCAAAGCTATCCTTGTGGCCAAGATGGCCCTTCTTTTTCAGCAGCATCTCTGCCACATCGGGACCACTGGCAGAGAAGAGCGGCGTCTGCTCGGCGAAGTCAGCTTGGTTCACGTCCGCCTTGAGCCTGCGCCGGAGACTGTCTAATCATATTCTCACTCGCCCAAGGGCCTGGAACTAATAGCTCAACCTTTTGGCGCCTTGACTCAAACGGTCAAAAGGTCGGCGTTGGACAACTGAGTGCTTGTTTAAGCAACCTTCTTTCGGTCCCACGCTCCAGGGGAGAAGGACATTGCGGCTCTTCATGATCGGTAAAGCCCGTTCAGTGGTCTGACCTGGCCCTGCGAAAAGAAAAACTGATTGTATCTCTGGGCAAGCTTGCTTTTGTTGTGCTGTATTGTGAGTTATTGGTTGATAGAATTATATAGCTGTTGGCTGCTGGTTGTTGGCTCTAAAATGTTCTAAACAACTACTGTTTTCTTGTCTGCCCGCGGGCTGTCTTGCTAGTTGTTCGGTCTTTAGTTGTTTGCGTGTTAGCAAGTCTGGGTCTTTGCTGATTTTATTGTTTGCATGCTGATTGGTGTTGTCTGGTTGCTTGCGTGTGCGTCAACATATGCTTGTGCATGCTTAGTGTGGCTGTTGCTATGGAAGTTTACTTGCTTGCTTGTTTGGCTGGTTGTTTGTTGCTAATTTGCTCGGTCGCTGCTCTGCTGCCCTGTTCACTTTGTCTGCCAAGTTGTTTCTGTCCTCAAAATGTTCCGTGCTTGTTTGGTTGTTTGTCTGTCTGTCTGTTTGCTAGATTGGTTGTTTGCTCGTTTGTTTGAATGATGGATGGATGGATGGATGGATGGATGGATGGATGGATGGATGGATGGATGGATGGATGGATGGATGGATGGATGGATGGATGGATGGATGGATGGATGGATGGATGGATGGATGGAATGATGGATGAATGCATGGATTTGACTGCTTGATTGCTTAGTTGATTGATTGGTTGATTCATTGATTGACTAAGTTGTCCGTGGATTGATTGGCTGACTGGCTGACTGGCAGGCAGGCAGGCAGGCTGGTTGCTGTGTCGGGTGTTTCTCTGGTCATGTGCTTCGTTGGTTGTTTGCTTGCATGTGTTGCTGGCCGGGCAGTTTTCGTGTTCACATGTTTAAGCTCTGTTGTTGTTTGGATTTTGTTGTGTGTTGATGTGTTTGTTTGGTCGCTTGATGTGTATTTGAATTGCTTCGTTGCTTCCTGGAGTGCTTGCTTGCTTATTTGCTTGCTTATTTGCTTGCTTACTTGCTTACTTGCTTCCTTGCTCGAAGAACGAGTTGATTGTTCGTAGTTTGTGCGCTTGTGCGCTTGTGCGCTTGTGCGCTTGTGCGCTCGTGCGCTTGTGCGCTTGTGCGCTTGTGCGCTTGTGCGCGTGTGCGTGTTGTGTGTGTGTGTTGTGTGTGTTGTGTGTGTGTGTGTTGTGTGTGTGTTGTGTGTGTTGTGTTGTGTTGTGTTGTGTTGTGTTGTGTTGTGTTGTGTTGTGTTGTGTTGTGTTGTGTTGTGTTGTGTTGTGTGTTGTGTTGTGTTGTGTGTGTTGTGTTGTGTTGTGTTGTGTTGTGTTGTGTTGTGTTGTGTTGTGTTGTGTTGTGTTGTGTTGTGTTGTGTTGTGTTGTGTTGTGTTGTGTTGTGTTGTGTTGTGTTGTGTTGTGTTGTGTTGTGTTGTGTTGTGTTGTGTTGTGTTGTGTTGTGTGTGTTGTGTTTGTGTGTGTGTGTGTTTGTGTCTGTGTTTGTGTTTGTGTTTGTGGTTGTGTTTGTGTGTGTGTGCTTGTTTATTTGCTTGCTTGCTTGTCTTGTTGCAAAGTAGCTTATCTCCTGTCTTATCGAGCACTGCCTGGTAGCTAAAAATCTGCACTTCAGCCCAGCTGAGCAAAGCTATACCCAATGCTGCCTGATAGAAGTTGGGACTTTCGCATGAAGCTCAAGCTTGGCCTTTGGAACCGATGAAACTGGCGCCCTCTCCTGGGTGAACGAGTCCTAAATGTCCACTTCCCCCGCACGAACTGAAGTCAGGTAGGCAAGGTGCTGTGGTGTAGTCTTTCCTTATTCAGGGGGCACCCCCTAGAATCAAAAGAGGGAAATCTTCAGATTTAAGAAAACTGCTACAGGAAAATGTGCAGGAAACCCTTGTCCTTCGTAATAGTTTGGCCCGTGTCCCGTAGAAACTCCGGCCTCAACTTCTGGAAAGGGGGAAACAAAACCCTGGTCTGCAATAGGAGGTTTGTGGAAAAAATGCTCACCCCTTGCGGTTTCCTTTTGGGCAAAAATAACAATTGCCCTCCTGTCCACCAACGTGGAACCAAAAGGGTCCCTTTTACCCTCCTGTCCACTAACATAGACCCTGACAACCTGTGAATGGTAGAAGCAGATTGGGTGCCATTTTTAAAGGAGAGCCCCCCAAAATGCCTTCGGTCTTCCTGTTGGTTTCCCTTCACACCCACAAAAAAAAACTGGTACAAAAAAACAACTCCAACCAAAGAGTCACACCCAACGTTGTTTTCCAGGAACCGCCCAAGTTTTCTAGGTCCTCCAGTAGAGAGGTTAAAATAAGGGTACCCTTTTGTCTGTAGTCTATTTGAGTTGAGGAACCCTCCCCCAAAAAAGGATAAAAGGGCACTACTGGGGGACCTAGTTTCATAGTGGCATCAGCTTCCGTCCGCCTGATCAGCTGTAGAAGGTCCGCCTTGTTCCCCGCGCCCGCGGCCAAGTGCAGCGCCGTGCGGCCCACGCTGTCAGTGCAGCTCACCTCGCCATGTCTGGGCTGTCCGTTTTCTCATCCCCCGCTAAACGTGAATAACGTTTAGGGGGTCAAATGGAAATCCCGCCACTAAACACTAACAAACGGAAAAGCTAAGAGGATGGCTGGGAGCCACCAGGATGTGTGCTTGCGTTGTTGAACACAAGAAACACCTGATTGCGGTTTAGTGTGTGTGTGTGTTTATGTGTGCGTTTAGTAAGAAGCACCTGATTTCGGGCTTGATGAAAGAGCATGCCGTTGAGATATACAGACCCTTTCGTTGTGTGTAAATGTGTGTAAACCGAGCCACTATAGTGTTGTTTGACCCCTACCCCAATTAAGCGTCTTGCCTGCACACAGCACCTCTATGCAAGGACCCAACCTTGACCTTCGCATTGGACATGCAGTGTGTCTTTTTCCCGCAGGGCAGAAGGATCAAGCCTAACATGTTCATGATTCAACTGCGCAACATTTCAACAGGTCTACCGCAACTTGCTCAAAACACATGAGCCAACTGCAACTGGTGAGGTTTGATCCAAAGGGCTTCAAGATCTTAGCCTTTTCGACGCATGCCAGACACTCGCCCTCGCGCATAAATTATTGGAATGGGGTTGGGTGCTCACCAACACCATCATATGCGCGTGAATCTGACTGGCGGAGCGCCGGTTCGGGCCGCAAGGGCGCGGGTTACCGAAGCCCTCGTTAAAATACCTTTGTGTCGTTCAAAACAGCGCACAACAGTTGTATGACCATATCTGAAAGGGTCCCCTCTTGAAGGTCATCGCCACCAGGCCTCACTTCGGGTCACCAGAAGGTACCACTGCAAGTTTTCCGAAATGGCAGAGAACTGAGAAAAAAAAACGGAGAAAACAAAAACATGCAAACTCCCAAAGTCGGTGAGCTGAAAACCAGTGAGAAATCAGACCTGGCGTTGCCCAACACGCGAAGCCTTGCAGGTCGAGAGCACGTCCTCAGTGGGGCGGCTTTTTCTTGACGGTGGACCTGGGTGGACTACCGGGCTGCCCTCAGATCTGCCAAGAGTTACACTTGTGGGTTAAATGGAAACTATCAACTAATTAAAACCCGGCGCCGGCCGGTCCTGGAAAACCATGTTCCTTTTAGAGGACACCTCGAACGTGAGGTTCCGGAATACATTTACACGTGTAACATGGAACGCCATGCTTGATGCACACTTTGCAGCTGGAACGCGATGCGGTTGGGCGAGACCAAGTGATACTTCACCAGCAACTTCGCCAACTCCATGGTCAACTCCACGGCTCCATTGATCGCTGGCCATGCGTGAAAAACCCCAGTCGGGTCCGTCTCAAATTAGGTTGAACCTACTTGGGTCTGCACCCTTGTGGTTGGCGTTTGAAGAGGAAAGGGTCTGCCCCAACATACTCAGAAGTGATTGGTGCTAAGGAAAGCCGAGAGGAAGATCGGTGCTCTCTAGGGAAACACCTCCGGTTTTACGCAGGGACGACCCCCAACCGCCCTCAAAGGGGCCTCATGTTGCGAAAACTCCCATATTTTCAGGCAATTCTCCTTTGCTGCCGGGAAAGGTCTGGAAAGGGGATGCCTTTCGTACTCCAGCACAATCTTGCGGATTGCGTTTCTAAGAGCTTACCACATCCATACCTATCCGGCTTCATTTTGGTTACAGCCCTTGCCATCAATGAGGCGCTTGCACTGACAGGTGCAGTGCTATGACGGCCTTGCGGCTCGCGCTGAGCAAAACAAGGCCATGCGGACTATGGCCAAACCTATACATATGTGCTGTGGTCATGGGTTTCTCAAGAAGACCCCTTGCAATGGTGGTCTAAATTCCGTTCAAGGGTGATGACCGTCCCCACTTGGTAGCAAGCACCAGCAAAGAGGAGTTCTGACCCAGAAATTGCAGCATCTGAGTTGGAAACTAATCTAAATGGACATGACACTGCAATGACTGGCCCTTCCAAGTAAGAATACATGAGGACCCCGTCGTGAAGCGATGATGGACCGCATAAACAAAGGTGTGTGCCCTTTTCGGGGTTGGTTTAAAAGGACCCAAAGAAGAAAACAACCCACTTGGTCGGGTTCTACAAGTTATTTTGAGACACCGTGCCCATCTTTGTCCCATGATCAGACCTTCGCTTTAAGAGCAAATAGCCCTGCGCACCTCCTCGGAGAGGTCCTCGCCGGTAAAGACCTTGGGTCTCGTCTAGCCGATGCAAACGTGGGGCTTCTCGGATACTCTGCTTGAGGTCGGGGAAACTGAGGGGAAGCCTTGATAGGTGTCTTTGTGGAAAAGTCGACGGGTTCCACTGGAACCAAGCCGTATGAGAGAACACCAATGGTGATGACGGTTTGTAAGATGACAATCACCATCATGCCCTCCAAGAAGGATCCCCGCCAACTGGTCTACAAGGATTCGACTGGTCGCGGCGAGCTGTGAAGATGTGGGAGGCAAGTGCAAGCCGCGTACTTGGAGCAGCTACAAAGAAGGAACATCAAATGGTCCTCGGAACAATCAACCATAATACAGAAAGAGAGTCAAACAGAAACACGCGAAAGCAGTAATTTGCATGAGCACATGACAACACAATGCAATGCACTGTCTGATCCTTTCAACACCGTGCCTCACACACACACAGTTTGTTCATCAAAAGGCACATGATGTCCGGTATTATCCTGCAGAGTGACACACAATCATTAATTAACAAACCCATGTCCATTCTTAAGTCTTAGGGAAACCTCATTTTGGGAGACACCTTCTTGGGTTACCTCTTAATTTGCCAGGGAGCGGCAATGGATGAAGCTATGGCCTATTCGAGCCTTCGAGCAACCAAACTGCGAACACTGACCCCACTTGCACTCCTGGCTTGAGCTAAGCAAATCTCGTTGCATTCTGGTCACGTATAATATATATATATATATGTATATGATTGCTTTTTTTTTCAGAGTCAAACTAAACTGCGTCACGTCTTCAGAGTCAAACTCAAATGTGCCCTTTTCAGAGTCACAAAGTGCGAGAAATGCGTCACTTTGTAAGTGTGGTTATGCAGCCCCTGGAGGATGATTCGGAAGCAAGTGAAAATCACACCTCCAGGTCCAAATAGTCCAAAGATATGAGTTCACAATGAGACCTCAAATGAAGATCGTGACATGAATGCTCATGGATGCGGAGAAGAACCCTCAATACTTAATATCGTCGATTGTGGTCCATATGTGGGGGTTGGTCAAAAGGTCCTTCACATGGGATGACCATTGAGGACACCATCAAGAATGATATTTCCCACATGGGAAAAAGTTCTTGGTCATTTAACGGAAAACTGATCAAGATCCATGTAGCGAACCTTGAAATGCATTCATGTCAACAGAGATCTCAGACATGGCGCCGTCTCTTTCCAGCCTCCGGACTCCTTAAGATCCCAGCCTGCTGTCCCGCGCGCACGGCCTTCATTGGCGGCACGCGCTGAGGGGGATTCAAGCGCTGCACCTCGCGGGACACGGGACCCTCGGACCCGCGTACTCGGTTCCGAGACGTGACACGGCGAATAGACAGGTTCAGTAGTCTAACAGTGTACATAAATAGACACCGGCAAATCTATACACGCATAGACATGTAGTTGTGAACCCGCCCGTCCAAAGCCCGATACATACGTATGTATATATATATATATACATATGTAATTGTATGTGGATGTATACATTACTTGTTATTGATTCTTTTGTGAAGCCTGCTTTTTGTGATACCAATTTGAGCTGTCCTCACCACTACTTTGGCAGGTTCAAGGGTCGTCTCGGCATCGCCAATCGCTCGCCTCCAAGGACCATCGCACATCGCGCAGCTCTTGCTCTGGCTCCTGTGCACACAAATCACAAACCCTAAGCCTAAGACAAACTGCCATATTATATATATAGTATGTTGTATATATGTATTTGATTGATCTGCACTGCAGCCACTGTCGGCCTAAAGCCCAAAGCCAAGAACGCTTCCCACGCATCGTTTTGAGGCAGCCAGACCAAAGAAGCGCCAGCGGATGGCGAGTCTCCTGCCAGTCCTCGCTCGGTGCCTGGCGGCTTTGTGCAAGTCACACAACAAGCTTCAGAGAAGCCGTCACAAAACCAGGCAATCAGGCTTCATTACCACCAGGTTGTACATGATGCTTTACCCACTATAATGGCTACTGAAAGCACTGGCCTTGACTCCAATGGTTGTGGCCTTTGATTGTGAGCAAGAGCCCTAACCCTAATTTAGTCAGTAAGAGTCTCTATATGGCTGCAATGGCTCTCCTTGCTATGGCTCTGAATCAGTATGATTTGCGCTTTGTCTGGCTTGTGCATTGGTGTGCGCTGATGCTCGTGCGTCCATACTCGCAATCAGCTGTGTGCGGTCATACAATCGGCAACACGTACATGCGGTGTACCTTGCACCCTGGGAATGTCTCCAAATGCACGAACCCCAAACATGGGTGGTTTTCCAGTTAGTACCCTCCAATTCCACACAAACACACATTCCCACACACACACACACACATTCACACACACACACCAAAAACATGATACACATGCGAAGAAACATCACGCGGTGAGCGTCTTCACTGGCTTCAAAAGAAACGGGGCAGGAGAAGGCTACTGCCATTCCTCGATGGGAAGCCAACGGCAACATTGGGGACCCCTTTAGGTGGTGAGCTTCGTCTTGTTTTCCTCTTGGCTCCTATTTAAAGCCAGAACCTTACTTCCCCAGCTACATGTTTGGATTCTGGCCCACATTCGATGAGCTTGGACAAAAAAAAAAACATAGCAATTCAGTGGATGGACAATGTCCACTTGGCAGCAGTTTGTAGGTGGTTTCTCCCGGTGTTCATGTTCATGCACATCAAAACAGTTCCCAGGTTTGCGCAGCCTCGACGGACTTGAGCGGGTCCACTACCAGCAGAAATGTCCTCGGCCAGTGGTGACTGAAATAAGCCTTGCATCTAAAGACAGGGTTTCACACAACCTCTACAAAGGTGACGCAACTTGAGGTTTGACCATAGCTCATGGACAAATCCATGTCGCACCAGCTGAAATAAAAATCAAATCTTTCAAATCGATTACTGGGATGAACCATCAGGCGCCAGGCGTGGATTTTGTCCAGGAGCCTTCTGGGGCTCGGGGGTCACCCATGACGCTCGGGATACACAGCCTTGCGCACAAAAACAATGCGCAAAAGAGTCAGGACCACGGGGGACGTATGTGCCAATTACATGAATGGAATCACAACTGCAACATTCTACAGTTTCAAATGTATAGCAATGGTTGGTTTCTACATTGCATATGTAGTCTGTGTGTAGCGCTTGCCCACTAATTACCCCTTGCCCCACTTGTGGCACCATCCCTGTAGCACAATCCTTGTGGCGCTGTTCTGATTGGATAAGAATAAGGACTCCCCAAGTAATTGAGTTCGTTCTACTCCCGGGTGAGCTCGCCATAGAATAGGCAGGTCTTAGCTTCTTCATCTTAGAAAACACCCAAGCCGATGAACTTGTTGCCTGGATGACTGCCGTTTACTCCCAGGGTCCTAACCATTTGAGTTTTCCTGGTTTGGTTCATGTTTAGTCATGGCCCCAGAAGGTGATCGCCTTCTATTTTCAGGTTCTTTGGGCCAGTGAGTTCACCATTGCCCTCCGAGCACCTTGAAAGGTGCAGCCAAAGTGTAGGACACCCTCCCACGGATTCGTTGCAAAAGGACTCTCACAAGGTCGGCTTTGGGCAAGTGAGTGAAACAATGCTGCATTGTAGCTTCATGAAAAAGGGGGCCTTTGTTGAGTCCCATGTTGTCCCCCCATGTCCTCCCAAAACGACTTTGTCAGTGGCTCTCGTGCCACTGGTTGAACTTCGCCCATTCCGTGCCGCCCAAAATCAGCACCGGCCATGTGAAGCTCCCACTGATGGATGAGGCTTTCAGAACCTCCATTTGCTTAAGTCCCCGTGAACAAAAATATTTCCAGTAGTGATAGATTCCCTTTATTAAAAACAGGGAAAATAAAACATGTTCTTAACCAAATGGAAGAGAAGACTCCTTTCATAGTACTCTGGAAATTAACATGAAACACAAATAATAGTTACGGTTTCCCAGCCTGACATAAAACTTGTTCAGCTGAGTTCTTGTGCTGGGTTCCATCTGAGTCCTCATAGACAGATTTGCTTCGGGCCAGCAAAGTCTCCGCGCATTCCGAATCCAGTCATCTTCCTCTTCCGAAACTCGAACGTGCACTTCTTCTAAAAACAACTTCTTCTGGACTCAGAAAAAGGCCTTATGTTCAAATGGCTCCCAAACCTCAGATAATGTATATTTACTTCAAGCACATCTTTCAACATGGCCCTTTCTCCAAGGAATGGATGGCTGCGAAACCATTGGTTCAACCGGCCCAAGCCTGGAAAAATAAGTGGCTTCAACAGAACCTTTGCTCTGCATATGACAGAGGAACCTCCGTTTGGGGCACTGCACCCCGTGTTGGTCTCGTTACTTCGAAAACCATGGAGCCCCTCGTTCCCAGCAAAAAGCGTGCATTGAGCTCGGGCACGGCGGCACCGACTTGGTCGCGAAGTGGAAGAAGTGCGTTTGACTCGGCGCGACGTTTGATCTCGCCCTTTACCGAAAAACGATCCCTACCCAGGAACGAACTTGGCAATTTCATCAGTACAGCTCAGAGGTCTTTATGCTGCTTTCTGAACACCCTCAAACGATGGCCCCTTATGTTCCTTGAGAGGGGGAACTGCCAAGGCTAGCGGCGCCACGTGACTTTCACTTGAATCCTGCATGCACAAATCATGTCGCATGTGGCTCCCACGACACCTTCGGAAAACGGCAGGACAACTCTGGAGTATTTAGGTGAAACAAATATGTGTGACGATGACCCCGGAACCTGGATGCCCTCCCACTCACTAACCTGGGACCTGACTGGGGGGGGTTCTGAAAGAGCATGTTCTTCTTAAAGCGAACCTGTGATGGGTTCCATGTTCATGGACGGGAGAGGACTACAATTGCATCCAATTGTTACTGTAAAGCGCGATATATCAAAAGCTGGGTAATGAGCGCTAATTACTTTGGGGGCCATAAGTTGCGATCCGACAATGCAGAACAACACGCAAGCAGCCAAAAGGTGGGCACAGCTCCAACAAGTGGCAGGCTGTCTGACACGATTGACCAACCGCTGCAAAAAGTGCAATGGAGTCTAGTGTTTGTTTGCAAGACATGTGGCTGGCTAATTCAATCCCTTCATCTTGTGTTGCACTATGCTGCGCTAGCATCATGCTGCACCTGTAAAGGACTCCGACACTGCGAACGTAAGGGTCACAACATGCGAAAGCAAAAGCCATTATGGCGAAATAAGGACATGCTATACAGCGTAGCAAGAGAATAAGCCGGCATGCCAAAAGTGACAAGCCGTAGCCATATCCTCTCCGGTCTTCTTGGTTCACAGGTCTACCTCTGTTGTCCTCATGTTGAAGTGGCCGGGACTCAACATGTCTGGCATGTTCTGCCCTTCCGGGACACCCCTTTCCGACATATGTGTAGGCAAAATCATAGGTGTTGCAGCCTACTGCTAATAGGTGTGCGTTTCTGAAGGTACCCTTTTCACCTGGGTTTAAACGGACACACACACACACACAAAACACTACCAATTGCTGGGGTCCCCCTATTTACGCATATTCATAAATGTCTACAACGGAGAGGCATCAGCAACGCATGAAATGCTGTTTGGCAAGTCCACATCGCGGCATCCAGCTCATGCATAAGCAGCTACGAACGCAGCTGGCCGAATTCCAAAACGCGCGGGGTTCTCCTGTGTGCTCCGGACAAACCAACGCCTTCGCTCACATGTGTATATAAGCAATGTCTGTGCGCGTGTGCGTGCTGCCTTGAAATCCCGACAGCAGTTTAGACAAATGATGCGAACTGAGTTCAATATCCATTGAACAGCTTTCTCCGGGTGTCGAACCCCAGCATCCATGCGAACCATGCTCGGCTGCATCAAACCCTAAGGGAATCTGGGCAATCTTCGGAAATGTTCACTCTGAAGTTCATAGTTCTTTCTTCTTGACATGCTGCCATGTGCTCACTCCCCAGTGGATTGGCCAAAAAAGGTCCAAACTGCTTGTTTACCGCTGGAGTGAGAGTGATTGAACTTCCTTCTATTGTGCAACACACATGCGCGGCGTTTTTGTTCCGGCTAAACAGACAATGCCAGCGCGCTTCACATATCACGCCATCGCTCGGGTGGAGTTGAGAATCTCGGGCTAAATGAGCAGGCCCCAAAACCCGATGGCGGTTGGTTCCACCACGGTTGGCGACATTTATGGCCTGACTACAAAATACTATAACATGCTCTAACATACCATATGCGCTATAAGCCCCATATACCCCCATTGAAAGAAACAAAGGATAAAACAACTGCTAAGAGGGCCAATAGTGGCTTTGGGTGCTCAGGTGCGTCACACGGCCGGCCGAAAAGCGCTTTGGCCAAAGTGCTCGCTGGCGAACAACTTTCACAAGAGGCCCCGGCCTTTCACGGATCTCTTTCTGTCGCCCGCGGTCAAACGCACCAACACCAACATCTCACACTTCACCACGCTATCAGCCCTTTCAACCAGAAGCGTTGCTGAGATAGAAACCATGATAGACGTGGCAGTGCCTTGAGGTTAAACTTGCAGACCAAACATACCCAAAGGGCTCAAATACTGCGCGTAGTTGGAATGGTGGGATCGGGTTGTGGAGTATCTTAAAACCAAAACAAACCCTGATCATAGGCTCATAGGACAAGCATATGTGTGTATATACTTAGCTCCTTGTACTACTCCCCAGCAAATTGGCTTGGAACCCCGACAAGGGGGTCCCCAACAAAGTTCAAAACTCGAAGAGTTTTGATGGCTCTTTGGTGTTCCATGTCACTCTGCAAGGGATGTTGATCTTCACTATTTCCTCTGCCCCACCAGAAACCGCTTCTCGAGTTCTGACTGGCCCGGCTGACCGGTGAGCGAGAAGTCCTCGAAGGCCGAGGCGTTCCAGGAGGACCCTGCGCGGCTTGCGCTGACGGGCGACGGGCGAAGTGGGTGATAAGTCAAGTCAAGAAGTTTTGGCAACAAGCAAGAAAACACATCGAGAGGACACACCAGGGGACCCGGGCTACCTGAAACTGATACCCATCAACCTGTAGCGGCGTGTCAACATCAAGGTCTGGACGAGGATCTCGGGTGCAAAATCAAGGGTCTGGTTATGTACCCATCCTTTTTGGTTCCTTTTGGATATGCGCCAAAATAGGAGAACCCCAAAATGGTGGTTTTTTAGTGTGTCAAAATTAGGAGAGAGCCCCCCGAAATGGTGATCATTTTGGTGTCCTATTAAACCAACCAAACAAACATGTACTAACTCAACAAAAACGCACGCCCTTTTGTGCAAGCTGCACAATTAATGAGCTATTGAGCACCTGGTTGACACCGTGGAAATTATGAAATTCTACATATTAAAACGCTGGTATGTGCTGTTTGTTTTTTGAACATACCCCTTTGTTTGTGTGTTTTAAAGAAAACACGGAAACCAAAAGGCAAAACCACCAGTTTGGAGGAGTCTCCTAAACAAAGACACCCTCATTCACTTGTAGAATTTCCAGATTTCCAAAACGAACGGCGAAAGCTCCGGCCTGCACAAATGCCATGGAGCTGATGCTGGGAGCACTCCCGAGACAGCACATCTGCCGGAGAGCCGTACGCGATCTCGAATCGTCGAGGAGAGAAGCATCAAGTGAGTCATATTTAAAGCCGATCGATACCCTCGCACCAATCTAATGTAATGTAATGTAATGTCCGAGCACCAATGAAGAGCCGGAAACTTAAGTTCGGGACCCGGTGCAGTCAGGAGGACAATGGTCCAGACCAGGACCCCGCGAAAGGTCGAACGGTTCCATGCGAAAACGGTGGGAGGGTAGCAGAATGGTCGACTCAAAACTATGTAAAGAATTCAAAAGGCGCATATCCATACCCATCGGCTGAAATTGTCCCTTTCTACTCTCCAATCGCCCAGGTTTTGATTCTGGCTCAAATGGGTCAAACTGGGCTACCCCGAAACATAGTGACTGTCCTTTTGGCTTCCCTTCAAACTAAGGCCGAAATGATACCCTGGCCCTAAACAACACACATCCAAATAAGAGTCCTCATGCTTTGTCCTTTACTGCAAGGGAAGAAAAACCAGCAGGACTTCAGCTATGACATCCCGGTAGAATTTATTGTCCGAGGCATCAGTTGTATTTATCTGGTGCCTGTGGATGTTGTTCAGCTTTCGGGCCCTGCCACAGCGATTGCCTCAGACTTGTTCTTTATGAAAAATTACGGCGATTGACACAGCGTAGCACCAACAAGTGAGCCGAATACGGAAATGCCAGTTTTGCTACAGGCACTGGGCACAAGAAAAATCAATGTAGAGAGAAGAGCAAAACTCTTCCACACTGATTCGTAATGGAAGTTTGTGAGGTAGTGCTCGGAAGACACCTAACTATCGTCAGATTCTACAATTCCAATACCTGACATAGTTTATTCCATTTCTGAATCCCTGCCTATCGAACCAGCAAGTCAAGGGCCTTGTCTCATAGGTTTCCGCTCGATTTCATCCCCCTCCCCCCGCAGATCGCTAGATCGCTGGAGTCGGTCGACGCCTTCAAAGTCTGCAAGGTGTGAGGACACCTGGAGCGCACAAGTCCGACAGAGCCCGACGGAGCCCCGTCTACCAAGGCTTTGACTTGCGGAATTGAGAAATGGAATGATCCCCATAGGGAATCTCCCTATGGTTGCCTTTGAGGGAAACCCCAGGTTCATTGCCGAAACCCGGACTCGGTCATTCCCTACTGAGAACCAGGTTGATGTCTGGGCTGTTCAAAATGGTGTTTGGTTGGATGCGATTGTCCACCCCAGGGAAGCCATAAGACCAAATCCTTGCGCAACCCAAGGGGACTTGTCCTTACCCTGCGGGACTTACCCTCATCCACAAGGGGACCCCAGGACATTGCGGATCACCCTTTGATCAGCCCAGGATGTTTCTCAAGGAATCAAGAGGTGTTTGGGAGTTATTCCGTTAGGGGATCCCGGGAAGAAAAGCAGTGGGATGCGTATGGGGTTCCTTCATTGTCCTATCAACATGGAGGCCAGTTCTCAGAGACGCAACTCGTTGGCGAATCAAACGCACGGCTCATGGTGAAATGTCAAACGAGCCCAATGGAGCCCATCACCTAATTGTACATACCTCCTATCTTTGACAGGGGAGTCCAGTGAAGGGTCCAGGAAAACATTCAACGAATGGCCTATTGATATTCAGTGAAACCCACATAGGGTCAGCAACTGTTCCGCCTCAACTCAGCCAACCTTGAAACCCGGAACTGCCAGATGAACTCTTACCCAAAGCAATCGAAGATATCACAAGGGTGGGCCCCTTCGTTGGCCATGTCCCCTCACCTCCCGCAAGTTTTCCACAGTTTGGCCACTGCGATAGCGCCGCAAATTTCCCGAATTCCAGCCACCAATTCATCTGTCCCGGCTCAAAAACGGTGATCTCGTGACTTCTGCAATCGGGAACTCTGGATTCATAAAGCCGGTGGATTTTTTGATCAGGGGGTATCCCATTTTCTAGGGGTTGATTACCCTGGGGTTCTGATGGGTTTCTGGAAAGAAGGATCCCTGGAAAGAATGGGGAGGTGTCCCCTAGAATTTTCAAGAAACACTTCATCTTTGGAGTTGAATCACCCCGACCTTCACTCACCAGGTGGAGATTGATCCATCGACATCACCCTAGCTCCACACACGGCTCAGGGCTCAAGCCCAGCGTGCTAGGAGTCTCCGACCACACAAGCGTATAGAGGGCCCCAAGGAAAAGAGAGGAGATAGTAATCCTCAGTGCGTATGGTTCCATGTTGTTTTTCCCTGGGAGAGGTTTGCGAATGCTGCTCGCGGGCGTGGATCATCTTGAAAATGGGAATCTCCCCCCGCCACCGTGTAAAGTGGAGTTCCGTGTTTAGGTTGCGGGGGAGGTTTACTCTTTACCTGGCAACTTCACCCTACAGGGCTCTTAACAGGGCCCATCGAATGCGCTACACCGAGATACAAAGATAAACACGGGTCCCAACTGGCTTCTCAAAATCATGTCAGTTCTCCCCAACCATTGGTATGTTGGCAAATCACGTTCATCGTTGCAGCCAAGAAAAACAAGAAGAAGCAAAGGAACAAACAACTACATACGTTGCCAAAAACGCTACAAAGTTTTGCGTAATGGCCTGCAAACACCCTTCTCGGAGAAGAGGTTGGTTGAAGCATGGTCGCTACCAGTCCCTCCACTTCTATGCAAGCACCAGGCACGACATGATGCATGCAAACATTGCTGTGAATCAGAATCACCAGATGTTGACAATAGTTCTATGGATATGAGTAATTAATATCAATGGGCATTGAAGGGGGGCTGTGGGGACAGGGCTATCGCCTGTTGAACCCTTCAGAAGGCCTTATTCTCGGATTATCCATGGCTTATCCAAATAACCCTTTTTCGGCGGAGGTCCATGACATATGCAACTGCTCTTGCGTATTCAAGCCAGCGGAACACTTGTTAGCCTTTTTGGCTACTTGAACGAGCTTCGCGAGCTCATTGCTTTCCCGTCAAAGCCAGGGATCACCATGTGACACAAACCTTGCTGAAATCTGCTATCTGCTCAATTTGTGCAAGAAGGACACACCCGTATGGATCACATTTTGAGACTCCCAAACGAGAAACCCAGGCTCACTTATACTGCGGGGTGTTTAGCGACAGGACCCGGCGCGCAAGCGGAAAGCACGGCGGGGTGTGCCTCAAGCCAAAGGTTGAACTCGAAGAGAAGGCCTTGGTCGGGAAGTTTTCCAGTAGCAGTGGTAGAGGGAGCCCTTTTTGGGATTTAGACTAGTGGAGCACCCACAAAAAGAGGGCCTTGTTCCGGAAATTACAACAACTAGTGGGGAACCCTCTATACATACATATACATATGTATATATATATATATGCATATTATAAGGACGCCACTGAAGTGGGGTAAAGGCAAGTTCGTACCATGATATGCAACATCAACGAAAATATCAGTCTAATCAGATGAAATAAGCTGTTCTTGATCGAAGTGACAGCAACAGCAGAAACCGATATACCAAACAACATTTTAATCGCTGCAAGGAAGCGCATTTTGCATGATAAGGCATAGAAGTCCATAGAAACTACAGAGGGCAATAGAGGAAGCTGTAGATGACATGACCATACCTGCACGTTCACAAAGCCCGGCAGATCGTTTCTCCATGGAACAAGCATATTGCATAAGGGGCCACGCTCCCGACCCAGGCTCTAATCTTGGATCCTAATTATTTGCATCAAACATCTGACGTTATCCCAGGCTCGCTAGGATCCACACTGATCACTTGCAGAACCAGCCAAATCTTGATGACCTGGCAGTTTCCATCGCGCGACCAGAGCGTTGCGGAAAAACATGTTGTTCACAAATTGGTGTGTACCGCTGCAAAAAAAGTGTTCCTTGAATCCAAAAAGAAGAAGACACACACAAACACAAATCGGGGGGCCCTAGTGAATGGAGTTTTCTTTTGGTTTCCCTCAGGTCAAAAAGCGTATCCTCAACAAAACTGGCCCATACTATGTGAGCGTGTACGCTTTTCGAGGCTCATTACCCTATTCAACACAGGGAAATCTCAACCCAAAAGCGGATCCTCCGAAAAAGACAATCATAGAAAAAAGGGCTGACATCACAAGTGCAGAATGCAGCTGCCAAACGTTGCTTGGTTTTTGTTCGAAAAAGCATAAGTCTGGCTGCTTGGCGCGAAAAAAGAAGACGAGAAAGTCAAGTGTGCACCTTGTTCATGTGATAGCAATATGGAACTCTCCTGCCGATTCACATGATTCCCAGGAACCTCCTTTCCGGGGCGCTTCTTTGGGCTCCACCTTATTTTGCAAGGGGAGCGCAGCTAACTTTCTACCGGTCTGCATTCAGCGCCGTACAACTCATGCAGCGATTCACAGAAACCTCTCTCCAGCATCACCCTCCAAATGGACATATCAAAAGTGGACCAAAAGGTCATACTTTTGATTCGCCAACCCCAAAAGGACATTCTGAGTCGCTGCATTCTTCTCTCAGTCCCTTCGCACCTTCGGGCTCCAAACTGGGGTTCTGGGTTCAGATGGACGAATGGAGAGACCAGGCCCTGGAGGCCGACTAGTCCAAATGCAGCGCAGTGGTGCTGATGTCATTGAACAGAAAATGTGTGCAAAGGAATTTTCATGTGAGGCACTCTTCGAATTAAACATGGTTCTCGAATGTTTGTGTAGTTCGTTTCTTCGCGGTTCGTTGATCACTTGCAAACACTTCAACGTTTAGGTTGCGTCTCAAAGTTAAAGCGCCGTATGACTCGTGTTTACTCAGTTGATCCAGCTACCCTCTATTTGGATTTCTTCCTCTCTTTTTTTTTTCGTGGCAGTTCCCAGTCATTGCTTGTTGTCTGTTTCTTCCAGCCGGAATCAATCTCTTTGGGTTCGTTGGTGGGCCGGGGGTAGACTCAGGATACGTTTCCTCATGCCTCTAAACTACAAAAGTCCAGGGGCACCACTGGTTGAACCAGTCTGCACCTGGACCCTTCGTATCGAAGCTCCTTTGTTCCAGCCTGAGGACTGATCTCCCGAGCCGTGAAGCCGGTGGCCATCCAGTCCGCCTCCGGCTTCTTCTTTTTTCGTCGCCCGTTTGGCGCGGATGTGGGGGGTGGGACATGGAAGCCACGTTCTGTGATACCAACCAAAAAAGGAACTCTTGTTTGACGTTCAACCCGCAAAAGAAAAGGGGGCGATTCACAGAAATAAGTGGGGATAAACTCCTTGATCTCGCGGTCAACCCCCTCATACATACGGGGAGATTCCCTGGTAGTTCTCACAGAAGTGGGGAAAAAAACCCTTCCCACAACCGTGATGGCAAGGGAACAAGGAAACCCGATGGCATGTCCCGCGATTTACCATGGGTTTTGTGGATGTGGGTGCTTCAGCTGATTGTCTGAAGGGAAACCGAGAACACCTCTCCTGGGAACTTTCTGGAGCCCGAATCTTTGTCTCTGACTTGGTGCGTTCAGTTTCAAAAGGTTGGATTAGGCTAATCTCAACAAAGTCTGGGGCTTCCCAATACAAAAACCTTTGACCGCTGAAATTGCCTTCAATGGACATAACTTGCCGTGCCCTTTCCCGCTTGAACCGAGGAAAAAAGCACAAGCTTTCAGATAGAACTTACTGGCAACTAGGATGCGCCTTTGACGATCTCCTACGTAGCGTCCAGCTTGCAGCCTTCATGGGCTTGACTCGAAACTTTGGGGCGAGCGTGCACCTCCGATGCAAGTCTCCTGACTAGCATTAGTACAGGAGCATGGGCATTTGACTACCATGTGAAGAATACTGCGCTTCCATTTGCTTAAGCCCCATGGAACAAATAAACATAATTCCAGTAGTGATGGATTCTTTTGAAACCAACAAGGAAAGTCAGTACAACAATATCTTAAGCAAGTGGAAGTGCCCTAAGCAAATGGAAGTGTGTGCAGGGCTGTTGATTCCTCTAGCGCCACGCTCCACACAGCTTTGATTACGCAGGTGTTCGTCGTTGTTTCCATCTACCAAGGTGCCATTTTGGGTGCCATGTTTTGAGCCACAGCCACCTGTGGGCTATCGTTGGTCAGCTTATCATTGTGCTGCATTGCAAGTTCTCCAGCCTGGACGGAGGTTTCGACCTCATAAGACGTGACCAATCCTGCCTGGACGAAATTCTGCGCAGCCCTGTGGGCTCGCTGACTAGAATTCACCAACCAGAAGTCAGGAATCCCCAAGTAAACCTTTGGCACCCCCGACCTGTGGACTTCAATTGGTACCGGGCACCTTCCTTCTGATTTTCAAGGGACCCCTTCGCCCAAAACAAAACCCATGAGCCACCAAACCGGGTCGCCTCATCCTGGGTGTAGCTCTTGGGATACTTCGGGAGCCTCCAGTCAGCGCGCCGGATCTCACTGGCCCCAGAGATGGTAGCTTGCTGGTTAGAAAGGCAGGGAATGAGACATGGAATGACCTGGAGAAAAAACATCTTGGTTTCCTTGATTCGCCAAAAACCTGTTCATTCCCAACACCCGGTCTCGGTCATTCCCTACCTGTCCCAAGGTAAAGGCTACCCTGCAGGGTTGGGGTGGGACCACAAGCCTGCACGGGGGTGGGGGCGTCTCAAAGACCTGATCTGTTGCCCTTTTTTCGGTCCAAAAACAACGAGCATTACTCCGGACCTCAAACTGGGCTCCTCAAACCTCAAACAACGAGCATTGCCCCAAGCTTGAAGGTCCACTGAAACATGGAGGTTCCTGCTGTTCCATGTTGATCTCAAGTGATTCCCTCTGTTGATCTCTTCCTTTGCCCCCCCCAATTCAGATTGGCATGCCTGTGCACGATATCCCTAGGTGAGAAGCTTATGAGCTGAGCGAAACATATGGCTTTCATGGGGTTTGGGAATGCAAAATTAACGTGAACCTATGTATATATATATAGTCCTTTCGCGGGCGTCAAGTGACCTTTCGCCGGAAGACAAGATGTTCAAATGCAGTAGCTCATACATGCAGCATGTGCTGCTGATTCCTTGTGTCATCCCTTTTGCATTCCAAACGACAGCCTTTCATGATGTGTGTGTGTGTGTGACTCTTTGGTGTTTTCTTTCCGCAACAGGGCATACCTCAATTGCAAACTGTTGTTCTTGCATCTCAGAATCTGCCCCGCATCAGTTAGAAATGTACACATCTTATATATATATAGAATATCATAATTGCATTACAAGTATGTCCCCCACTACAAGTACAGTTGTGAGAAGTATGTTTGCATTTGGTAGTATTGTGCTTGACATGTTGAATATCATACTTCTTGCCTTGTCCCACTCCGTAGCGCCTGAGAGGTTGATCCTCGCTCGTCAGCGGCAGCTCCTGGGGTTTCGTTCCCAATCATTTCACTTGAGAAGGCGGATATCCGCCCCCATGCATGGCTGGGAGTGTCCCCTACCCTCCAATTGCACGGTTTTCTTGTTGTCACTCGGGCTGCTTTTCAGACTTCAAAAAAACAGACATATTTTGGGCTCCTCGGGAGCCAGGGACTTTGCTTGCCTCTTGATTCTTGCTCCTCTAATATGCTTCTTTCGGTGAGCGTTTCCCTCGATTGCTCTTCTTTTTCTCAGAGGCTTGCATGGAACTGCCTGTTCTGGGAGGGTAATATGAGAGGCTACGCAACGAACAAAGGAACATGATCCTAATGTCATGTGACCATGTGGTCTATAACTCTGGACAGCTTCTACTTGCTAAGTGCGTTTGGGATCGGGATGGTACCAGGCTTCTGATGTCCCATGCAACGGATGTCCGAGGCGCGGAGTGTACTAGTACTGTTGACCGCGGATTAATACATCCGTCCTATCAATAGGTGGTGCCCCCATGCAAAAGCATGGATTCCTCACTAATCCCAGGGACACAAACTTGATTAATCTGGGCTTAACATTAAGCTGTTTATGAACTTTGCAGGTCTGGCAGCTCCCTTTCGAGAGTCGCACTGAGGGCTGCCTCGTCCATTCGAACCGGCTGACCTGCATGGGATTGGTCCCGGAGTCGTGACCGCCTGCCAGAAAAAGCTTGAACCAGCTTTGAACCACCTTGTCTTGCACGAGGCATTGGCCTCAGCCCGGCTTTGAGGTAACAAAACAAAATATGTCGAACCACGAACAGCAAACCTTTGTAGCTGTGTTAGTCCCTTTTGTTTGAACAAGCTCCTTTGGCAAGATGCCGCGTTGCAGGCAGGGGTTACCAGGGTCACGTTGCAACCAAGTGTTCAGCCCCTCCGCACAACGAGGGTCAGGTCGTCGGCGTCCTCCCAGTCTTCCATCGCGCAACATGGCAGCCGTCGCGCGACGACGAAACACTCGCCACACGTCAAGCCATGTGATACATGAGTATGTGTCAACATGGGGAGGACTCCTAAACTTGTGGCTCGCCTGTTGCTTTCCCTTCAAAGCAGCCTCAAAAAGGGTTCGTTTACTTCTGAGAACCTGTGAGTGACAAGCATTTCCTGATTACAACTTGCTGTAATGAAGGTCCCAGGAACAACATGCCGTTTTGCGAATCGCGAATGCTGCTTACATTCTTTGGTAGATGTCAAAAGATGTCAAAGGTACCTTTTGTTTCACTGTCCTCCAAGTAGAAACAGCTGTGATGCGCCCTCAGATTACAAGCTCACATTTGCTGTGGATAGCACTTTCCTGCATGCATCACTTCAAGCATTTACAAACGTTCAATCCAGAAGATGCTTAGCGCTTCTTGCCAACATCATCCGCTCCGAGCCCTACAAATTCATATCTGCCTCACTCTTGGCATGTTGTTTGAACACTCACTTTGCAGCCCCCGGCTAGACATCCAACAGGACAGATTTCCTAGATCAGTAGAGCCATTAGCCTGGTGGTTTTTGCTGTTGGATTGAGTTGATAGATTCCGTATGCATGGCTTTATTGAGCCCAAACTGAGGTGCAATCAGCACAGTCACACCAGCACCCCAACACGTCATCCAAATGAGCATCTTGCCCTTACCCAAAGGGCCTGCAACATAGGTTCAAGTTCAGCTTTACCAATTGAAACCTTGACAAAACAAATACAACACAATGCAAAACAAACAAACACCACGAAGAAAAGGTCGGCTTTGGATGACCAGCTATGTTTAAGCAACCTCCGTTTGGTCCCCGGAAGAAGAAAAATACGCCTCTTCATGTATCGGTAAAGTCCATTCTGTGGTCTGACCTGGCCACTCCCAACTTTTCGCATCGCTCTGCCAGCCGCTCCCTCAGAAGCGTCACCAGCTCGTGGCCTCAGGCTGCTTGATTCGGGGCTCAGGCCGAGAGCTGATGAAACCCCAAGCGTGCTTCAGACCTGGCCAAAACAGAGATCGGGGCAAGAGGGGGAAACAATGGAGACTGCTTCAACAGAGAGTGCTCAAGGGAGCCCTTCCAAACCCTCTCGAAAAATCTCGAAAAGTTGGTTGATGTTTTTTGGGAACCCCCAACAAGGACGGTTCAGGAGGTCCAAGCCCAAGAGAACCATCCTTGACTGTTTGGCGACAAGCCAAAACAGGCAAGGAGCGCAGCAAAATAATCACATTCATGCAGAATGGTTAAGCCAAACGGACGAGATTGGATGAAGCCCTACGGAAAGTGCAGGTTCAAACAACTACATGTTGACACTCATGAGCCAAACATCGATGAACACATTAGTGGAACTCATGTTGGATCAAAGTAGGCACAATGCCAACAGTTCAACAGCGAAAACGGCAACATGCCGCCAACAACTACAATACCAAAGGGCAATCAGCATTAAGTCATTATTCGAGGCCAGCATTCAACCAATTGGAGCCGGCGCGCAGTGCGCTCAATTCAAAAACAACAATCCAGGAGATACGCATGCATACGTATATATGCAGCATGCATGTTGATTTCCGAGCTTGCACAAATGCGTGCAAACTAGAAGTAAAGCGCAACCCAAAAACCATGGGCAATACATCTGGTACAACCACCCAGCCTATTGAGCCTGTTGCTACTGCCATGTCAAGAGAATAGGAGCAATCCCCAACCAACCCCGAACTTTGAAAACGAACATCCCCAACAGCAAACCTCCGGAACTCAGGAACCCTACCACTCCAGAGCCTATCTGGGCAGAGACCCCAAGGCTCTCAGCTGGAGAAGAAAGGAAAAGAGGGGGATGAGTGGAGGGGGTGCCGGGCGGCCACAATTTCGCGCCCGGCCTTCCCCATGCGTCAGCCGTAGGATCCTCTCCGCTCCTGAAAGCGACATGTTAAATTGCAAGGGCGGTATTTTTGGAATTCGTGGTTTCCCTTCATCTCGCAGAAATGGATGGTCTTCTGGGCGAATCCCCGGATACTTGTTGTTTTCTTTCTCGGAACCCGTGCGGGTTCGCCTCGAAGCTGATCAATTGGCCGTGGGTTTGGGTGGCTCACTGGCCATGGCCACATTTGGAGAAGGAAACCCGAAACATTTTGAAAGAATTCTGGAATTCCGCTTGGTTGCTGCAACGACCTCTCTACAAAAAGTGTTTCGCTTCTTTGGGTCCCGCCTGGAGAAACATGTACAGTTTCAACCAAAAAAAATAAAGTCCAAAGATGCGTCACCAAATAGCCATAAAGTTAGACACGCCCTGACTTGAGTGGATTAGGGAAAAAAACACCAATTGGCTTGCCTACGATGTTTGCGGTACAGATTCAAACGAAGGTCCATGGGCAAAGAGATTGTCCCACTCTGAGGCCATTCCACCGAATGGATGTTGCCCACCAAGCAGGTGTGGATGACTATGGTTACTCACAGGACAAAGACAAAATCCAAGCAAAAACGTGAGTCAGCACACGGCAGGGCCGCAGGCTCCAAGGAATCGCTCAGTTCGGGATGGCCACGTAAGCATGGTGAAAGATCTGATCCCTCCTGCTCAAAAAACAATCCAGGCAAATATTCCGGTCGGCCACGGAGTCCCTGGAAGACTTGATTCGGATTACCCTCCCTCACTCCAAAAAATCTGAAAGCTGATGAAAGACTACTTCCCTTGTGCGGCGGAGGAAGCCCATGGTTGTAAGGAGTGACATGCCCATGCCGCCCTAGCTTTACCAGTCCCCAAATGTTCAAATATCTCTGTTCGGTGCATGGCGTAGCAACTGATAGACCAGCCATGCAAATCTCCGCAAAGAAAAAGACCAACCTGCAGCAAAGGCAACTAGAACCTCAAAGGGTTCTTGGACAGTGCCTCTCCCGATGAATGGGTGTGTCCTTCTTTTATGTTCTTTTATTTATTTATTTTGGGGGGATGGTTGTTTTCATTTTGCTGTCCCTTTCAAAACCAGCAAACAACATGAACGTACCCTCAACAAACGACACACCCAAATGCAAAAAGCCATATCACGCGCTTTCACCCCCCGGCCTTCATAATTCTGCACGGCTTCTGACAGCTGTCCTGCCTGCTCCTGGCCAGCAAAGCAGCTCTTCTCAATGCACGTGGCGTGCGTCCCACCAAAAAGCAACTGGCCAACTCAAAGTTGGCCTTTCCAAGAGGCAGATTAAATGAGACAAACCTCTCGGGGCCGAATAGGGAACCCTAGTAAACCGTATCAGAGGGCCGGTGGCAAATGCTTGCTGCCCGCTCTCACTGAAAGCAAACGGTACCCTTTTGCCAGGAATCAACATCTTGGAAGGGCACAGAGGTTTGGAAGAGCGCCACCTTAAAACGGCCTGTCGCGTGTCCACTTCCATTGTTACACAAAGGGTTTGCGTGGCATTGAGACAAGTTGGGATATCCCGGGCCGAACACTCGCTTCAATGTCCGTGGCTTCCTTTCACGAAACAAATGTCCGCCCTTGGGTCTTTGTAGCAACCCGGTGAAACGCTGTTGGTGCAGATTGGGGTTCGGAGTTCGGAACATCGAGGTGGTGAAAGCAAATCAGGGCCATCATGGTCCGAAGACAAAGAAGTGGAACACGGAGCCCACTGTGAGACACTGGCATTTTACTTGGAGTGGGGTATTAGAGAGAAAAACAGCTTGTTCGTGGTTGTCACAAATCCGACTGTATACCCTATAGATTCCTATAGCACTTGGTTTTACCATGTAGCCATGTATGCTGGTGCCGGAGATGGACAGGGATTACTTGGTTGGGGCGTGTCGCCAAAGGCAAGTAGTTCTTTCCCTCAAGCACTTGCGCGAGTACAGTATTGATATGCCACATGTCATGCCAACTTGAAGCAATATCGCCACATCATGGTGTCAGCCCGGACATGGGCTCAGGCGCTGGTCCCAGAATTATCCAAGAAAAGGACAACTTGGACATCTACAGGAAGTTACAGGAAGGTAGATTTCCGAAACCGGGGGCATTTCGAGAAATGCGCGAGTTTCCTGTAGAGGTTCGGTTCTCCTGTTGGTGTCTTCTGAGTTGCGGATAACAACTCCCCAAAATGCGCGAGAGAGATCAGGCGCCTTAGCGTGGTGCAGAAAGAAGATATGTTGGAACTTGCAGGCATGTGCTTTTGTGAGTTCCCTTTGCTCCCAGTTGCTATACTAAGGGCTTCTTACCTCTACGTAGGTTTTACATGGTTTCCCTGATTACCAAACTGGAAGCAATCGGTTTGGACTTTTTCGGGTCCTCGTTTAAAGAGATGCCAGGTTGCACGACCACATGTTCAGCTTTCGGCTTCATACCCCGCCTTCAGCTCCGCTAGCGTAAACATCTGCAAGCCTGAAGCATCCCGCAAGCCCTCGCCCTTTAAACACGCCACGGCTCGCTGGCATAGTTTGACGCAGAAACACCCAACCTTGGGCGCTTTTTCTCAGGGCAATCTCCATTCAATGCAAGTGATCACGTCTGTTTCGGCCTTCAGCCTCGCCAGAACAAGCTTGGCGCCTCTATCGCCTTTGTCGCCTTGGTCCTGCTGTCAAGGGTCCTGGTGGAAACCCCCGTGCAGGATCCGGTCAGATCCTAGGCCTTATTAGGCTTAGCTGATCAAAATGGATTGTTGACCCAGCCTAATCCATCCGTCAGAATTCCTATTGGCAAACCCACGCAGCCCCGCTCTTTGGTTTCCCCAATTCGGGAAAATATATATATATATATATATTCGGGGTAACATCTTCGGATGGGGTGGACTTCATGGGCTGCATCTAAGTTGAGAGGGCTTCCTCAATGAAGGCAAGCTAGTCTGATTGGGTTCTTGTATACTTCCCGAAAAGGGGAACTCACTGCGAAAGGGGCCCAAAAGGTGATATTATTGGGAACCCCTGAGCATCTGAACCCTGAACCATCTGGTCACCCTTCCAGTGCGCTGTGGGCTCCAAGTTCATTTGCTGGGC